AATTGATTCCAATGTATATAACAACGTTTGCTTTCTATCCTTTTGTGTCATGTTGAAAGCATTTTGATTGACAGAAGAAAGGTGCTAACAAACAAGTCAAACTGTATCCAAGGACATTATTTGACCGCATTTTTAAGAGGGCGTTTTATTGTCACCTTAATCGAGGTAAAAACCAGGTAAATACACCCATACTGTGTCAGTGGTAGATCACATATCGAGCAAAGTGAATCGGCTATGAATTTAACGAGTGTGAACTTCTTTAAGACCCGGATATACCCCAGTCTAGGAATCTAAGAATTGGATGAGCACTTGATGATACAAGCAAAAAAGAAAGGTTACCAAAGATTGATTTATGATCTGCGTGGGTGATAGATTACATAACATGCAAAAACTAGAAATAAAACACTCTCTCGGTTGTTTATACAAAATGACAAAATGCATTTCATTTCCCTTTTCTCTCTTTTTTTTTGGAGAATTACTGAAAATGCGGTTTTGCTAAAAAAAAATTTCCTTTAAGAGATTTTGAATTGACCTCACTAGAGGGCAACATCCGCTAAGTGTATTAACCGCACACCACGTAACCTAGGACAAGATTACAGTGCAGATTTTAAAGTACTAAGATGATCGCTTTGTCGGTAGTGTTAAATATGCATGTTTTGTCAATATTCTGATCAAAGGAAAAAATAGATACGAAATGCAGATTGTGGTGAATTTGCAAATATTTTTTGATATTCCATTCGGCAAATAAAGCATTAGTTTTAAAAGTCTTTCAAGTGCTAATTGCACGCATGGATTGATACCGTTTGATATATTATTTCGCCATAAATCAGCGACTTTTTTTACTTTGTATAATTTATAAATTTTTGTGGTGAGAATCACTAAAGAAGAATTTTTTTTAATGAAAAGATGAATGAAATATCTGATCTCTTACTAAACCTCCTCGATATTCGCTAAGAAGGGCAGCATTTATATACCATAATGCTCAGCTTTTTTATACCAAGGAAATGTCTGACTGTCGTTTAATTCCAATTTGGTAATAGTTATAACCTGCCAAAGGCCATAATGCAGTGTTTTTAAAATATAGTCGATAATAAACTTGTTTTTCTTCTGGCAATATGGTTTTATGCATTTAAAAAGTCTGAAAGACAAAGAGTCCGCTAACGACGGACTAATGATTTGCTTTTTTTCCCCCTGCTTTGATTATCTCAGATTTTCATGATTTATGCCTTAATTAAAAGTATTATTAAAAAAATATTTTTTAAAGTTATCTTCAAAGTGAATCACTAATCCGAAAAATACAATTGGTAGTCAAGGGATTGATTTTAGAGTAAACTGACTCGGCATGGGGCACTCTACAATTTGTAAGGACCCTCACAGGAAAGGTATGTCTTAGTGGTTCCAAAAGACCTCCTTTAAACTGTACAGGATGGGTATTAATTCTAGGTCATTATCTACATGCCTCCCGGATAATCGTACTAAAAATGTTAAAGGGCAGGCAATTTAAAAAATATCTCAAAACATCAAAAACATTGCTGTACTTTGTTTTAATTCCGGTTCAGAATTTTTTTTTTCTTTCTTTCTTTTTGATAAAGTTTTAACTAATGCAGTAGAAGACGTATTTAAAAAGCCTACCATGACATTCGATTATTTTATCTTTATTTATTTTTTTTCTATTTTTTTTTTCTGAAGGATGCTTACTGTTCAATATTAGAAAGGAAAAATAAAAATGTTAATAATGCTTAGGCTCAACAAAAAAAGAAATGAAATATCAATTACAATGCTATATGAAAAGAAAATTTATTTTGTTGACAATTTATTCTAACTTTTTCCCCGCTTTGATTCAATAAGCTTAAATATCAATTTTTGTGCTATATATAGATAAAGAAAGATGATTCAAAATATTTTTCACATTTTCTCTGTTTAAAATGATAAGTCGAATAATAAAAATAATAAAATAAAAAATAAAATAAAGAACACTTAGCATACACTGTAAATAGATAAAAAGAAAATAAGTAAGTTAATAAGAAATCAATGAATTGCAGATAATGTACATGTATGTGACTCAATTCATTTAATTCATTTAAATAAATTTGTTTCCAGTGACGTGAACGTTTGAATATTAAAGAATGACAACAAATACTATTTTATTGATTCGTTTTGTTTTTCATAATAAAAAAATTGCTGGCTGTTCTGTTTTTCATATAACAATACAGTTATTGACTGTACTTTCGGGCAACATTGATTAATTATAGTGAAATCCTCCTATGCAAATGTATAGGATTTTCGGATTTTCGAGTTTAGACAATTCTTCTTTTTTTTGTTTGTCAAATATTTTTCATGTAAATTGTCAACCCCCCTCCCCTCCCCCGACCAACACCCACTTTCAAAATCGATGCTACGTGCCTGTTCTTTACAGATATAAAGACATATCTGAATAACTGGAGAAGATTTTGGTATCTTTAACATTCTTTTTCATTCAATATTTAACAAAATAGACAAAAATGAAACAGGGCATTTTTTTTATTTTTGAGAAACAGCTTTTATTTATTTTCATTATACATGGTTTCGAAATTGTCAACTGTGTTTAAAATAGGATTTTTTTTAGTATCAGTGCTTCTACAGTAATAGATGAAATGAAAGCTTTGACAAATGCTTTCCACTTAGTTCATATTCCAGCATAAAATGGCCAAGCAAAGAAGAATTGAAAAGTATGATACAAATATGGCCCAAAACATGCAGTGAGTGAAACTATTGATCCGTTATAATAGATACTCATTACCGGACTTCAACTTTATTCGGTGTATCAAAGCTATACACCAAGCCATAATGTACATGTTAAAATAATACATGTAACTGATACAGTGTAATTAAGGAAGAATACGCTATATAGACTGTGGTTTTCCTGGCTAAATGATGCACAAGAGTACATCTGACGACAAGATCCAAGATCTGGCTCTGCCTGATGATGGTATACTTTTCTTCTAGAGATTTTTTTTTCCATTTTTTTAATCCAATATTGACACAGTTTTTCTCACCATCAAATTATCAACAAACCATGCAGGAAATCCAGAAAATTTGATAAGGTTTAAATCATTAGAGAGATCGGAAGTCGTACGTCCAGTTTCTAAATTAAAAACGTATAGAATGTGAAATGTAACGTCTGTACCATTCATTTGCTGAAATTGTAGTTGTAGTAATTGTAGTAGGACTTGTTTGTACGACATATTTGATTTGAGAATGTCATGCATAATAAAATGTAACAGTTATTTCGAGAAATTTCGATGTGTGAATTTATATATATATATATATATATATATATATATATATATATATATATATATATATATATATATATATATATATAAATTTTCTCCAAACTTTCTAATTAAAGCAATTAAAATACGAATTTTAAGATCCTTTTTTTTAGATTGATATTATAGTTATTAGAAGACTATACATATTCAGATGGACACGTTGTAGCCTAGATAACAAATTCCTGTCGTCATTTTCTAATAAAATCCTGAAAAAAAATATTCATGAAAAGTTCGTTCTTGCTTATGAGACTCGGGATATTCTTGGATAAAGCTTTATCCATAAACTTGAAAAAAAAAGAAAAAAAGGGGGAACTACAGTTATTCTAGTAAATCATTATTTCAGGTTTTGCAGTTTTAATTATATTCTTAATTTGGTTTATGAACTGGTTAACGATAATTTTGCATATGAAACCCTTAACAACAAAAACAACAACAAAATTGCTTGGATCTTATAACTCTATTTCGCGCAGTTGACATTTCTTGTTTGCTTTGTTTGTAGGTTGTAGTATTGTTTGTAGGTTGTAGTCTTGTTTGTAGGTATTTTGAGATCGATCACTATTCGTTATCTTCACCTATTTTTGTATTCATATGAAGCAGAATTTGTTCAAAAGCTTATACTGTACGTGAAAAGAAAAAAAAAAACTTGCTGTGGCCTTCAACTCGACATTTAGATATATCAACGATGAATTGTCAATTAACAATGGTTATTTCCATTCTTATGTCGATACGATATATCCCAGTGAGCTTGAAATATAAGATACCACAGATTCTGACACATCTCTTTCATATTTGGATATATTACTAGAAAAAGCTTTATGATAAACGTGATGACTTTAACTTTCAATCGTCAACTTCCCTTACTTATGCTGCAATATACCCTTATCACCTGCATACGGAGTTTATATCTCTCAGTTCATTCGATGCGCCAAAGCATGCTCTACGCATGAAAAATTTTTAAAACGAGGCAAGTTATTGACAAACAGGATGATGAAACAAGAATATCAGCTGTCTCGTTTAAAGTCATCATTTAGTAAGTTCTATGGTCGATACAATGACCTTGTCAGCAAATACAATCTATCATTAAGTCAAATATTAATTGTTAGGCCATTATTTACACACTGAATTGTCGACGGATTTTTTCGTTATATCCCGATCATGACAAGGAGCTCACGGCGGGTGTGACCGGTCCTCAGGGGATGTTCACTCCTCCATGGCGCCTGATCCCACCACTGACATTTTAGAGGTCCGTGTTTGCTCTACTCCTGATTTGTATTGTTTAATGAACATTTGGGCTTGAATACTGTTCGTTATCTCCATATATTTCACTTCACCTATTTCATTATGGGAGGAATTCAACAGTGATTAATTTTGTTTTGAAATTTAGAAAAAAAAAACTTAAAATTTTGATAGACATCTTATACCTATCTCAATAAAGAAATCATTTGATCATCATATTCACACATTGTCAAAAAGTTGTAAAGGCTCTAATGTTCTAGCTACTTTCATATACAAGATATTTCTAATTATTCTGTGTGGGTATTTTTCGCATCTATATATACAATTTCAAATGGCATCGTACTGTCTGTGCTAGGATGTGTATATAACACCACAAATAATAGAGATTAACAACATTATCCACATAAATCCATGTTGGAAATGAAAGAAAAACAACTTCTAAATAGCTCAGCAAATTTAATATTCTCAGAGATTATAAAATAACACAGAGAAAGAGAGAGAGAAAGCCTAAATAGCTAACATATTCAGACTGCTCAAAGCAATATAAGGGAAATAACCCTTAAAATATTTAATGCATTACCATAATATTCCGTAAAATGAAATAATTTTCTTCAATATTTTGAATAATAGTTTTAAAAAAAACGTGAAAGAACCTAATTCACAATATGTAAAATAATGGTTCATCACAAATGTATATTATGAAATGTTAATTACTTTTTTGGGATGGGGAGGGCAGGACTAATAAAAAGCAATAATTACAAAAGCAATGGACATATAAAATCAAATAAAATATAATACCGTTTACACATTTGTAGACACAACCTTATGTATTTCATTTAAATAAACAAACAAACAGGCAAAACATATTTTTTAAAAAACTAAAAGTCAGCTTGGCGACGTTAATGAAGATTTATCAACCACTCAAGCCAGCGTCTTGCTTTGTACAAAACTATTTGGATCAGTTGTTCTTAAATTATTACAGTATGCAGTGAGAAAAGGGTCTGTATGAGGGAAACTATCATATTCCAATCTGTACACACAGGTCATGTGAAACCCATTTTTCAGTGTTGGATTAATAACGCAACCTCTCTTTATGTAGAATGATGCTATTCAAGATAAAAAGAGTTCCGACGGAAACGGAACAAAAATGGTCTCAGACAGCAAGTGATATAAGTTATAGCTTAACACGAATTTCATCCACGTCGTATGATAGAAACATTCGTGATTTCGGACCAGTGAATAATACAAAATGAGATTCCATATCTACTTTTTGTCCTTTATAGTTACTACGTCATCCGGTGACGTCAGCAAATCTAGGGTCAAAGGTTGTGAAGCGTCGATTACGTCATTGGGTTCAACAATTATAGTTTGTCTGCAAAAGAAAACCATCATTAGAGCAAATGATGAAACTTTCTGCCTCTTTTATAATTACATATCGGTAAATGCATCATTATTTTTGTTCACTAGAAGGAATTTACTTTGTGTACTGTATTGAGTCTTTTATAGATTCCGGTAGATGACGCCCTTTAGTTTCCGGAAGTATCAAGGCTAACAATCCAGACACAAACGCAAACAATCCGAACACCAGTAGGGGCATGGCGACCCCTAAGTCTCCGCCTATAACTTCGTTCTAAAAAAAAAATGCCAATTCTAGATTAAAATTAAAGCAGAGAAAAGTTAATTTTTAAATCACATGCACTTTTTGTTAATTGTTTTATTCATGAAACGACCGCAGAGATAGTGTCTTAATCAATTTTACTGATGAAGTTTCCATCAGCAATCATTTGCTGACACCACTTAGCTCAATGCAAACCTCCAATGCGATTGGAAGAGGGATATTCATCAAGTAGATGCATTTCTCCGCCGGATTCACCTTTTAACACATATCATATTTCGCATTGCATAAAGTTCACCGAAAAAAATCTTATCTACTTTTTATTACAACCTTCTGTTAGTAGCTTTTGAAAAATCAGAATTCAAGTGTTTAGCGTGCCACACAGTAAATCGGAATTCAAAGGAATAATATTCGGAGGAATTTCGGATTCGATCACAGGATTGCATAAGCAAAATGACTGAACACTGATCACTCCCCCTAGGAACTCCGACTGAATGAAATTTAAGTATCTATTGAAGTTGACAGAGTTCTTCCACTGTAGTGGTAACAAGTGAAAGTCTTATTTCAGATAAAACAGATAAATTAAAACTTTTGTAAATGGTTTAACCACCTTTTTAATTTGGAAACGGCAATTTCGTGCATCAATGTGAACTTCATATTATTAAAAAACGGTATTTTGAATTGTAGACTGTTAAACTTAAAAAGATCTACTCTTCTCATACATATAACTCTGACTTATGGTTAAAATGACGCGTAGTATTTTAAATTAAAATTTGAAATTTGATTTAGCTAGAATCGTGTGGAACTAATGAAAGAAAAAGCACGTGGGGTCGATGTAGCCCATTTTCAATATGCATTCTGTTTGAAAGATTTCTTAGGAAGTGGGCTCTTTCGTCAGTCTACCATATGGACCAATAAATTCACATACTCACTTTATAGTGAGCACAGCGAGCTCTGATGACTAACGTAAGAAAAGATGAAATTCGAACTAAAATTTGCACATACGCCTAGCAAAATTTTGTGTGTAAGTATCCCAGAATTCCTTCGCTATCACAATATCATGCGATAATGGCGAGTAGCAGTACCGCAGTTATCGTGAAGATTTAGTTCTTGCAGAAAGCTTAGAAGAAACAAATAGTAACTTTTAATGTAATTCTTAAAAACAAGTACACCTTTTATAGAATGTGATCGGGATGTGTAATATTCAAATGTCAAACTTGCGGTCTACGTTAAAGCACCAAATGTACAGAATGTCAATTACCTTATAACATAGGTCGAGTTAGATTTATTCGAAACATAAATGAATGAATTAATCATTACATTACTCTAAAGGTGGCAGAGGATAGTTTTTTTTAATGCCAAACATATGCCGAGGGGGTACACATATACATGCGATCCATAAAAACATGTACATGGGGACAGTTTTCCAGGGGCTAATTAATTACACTTCATATGCCCATGGCTCACAAGTTATGTCAACAAATTACATGTAATCTGCGTATTAGAGTGCACATGTACCAAAAATGCACCTGGGGACTCCCCAAATTTTGGCTTGTTTTTCCAAGATTTGGGCCTCATTCATACCCATACAACCCACCCCCAGGCCCGAGCGAGCAGGATAAAACACCCAGTAGTCTGTAAATCAATGCAAGCCCTAATAAAAATTCACCAATTGATATGGGGTCATTCACCTTCCCTCTGAGATACACACCTTCTTCTAAGGCCTACTGCTTTTCAGCTGAATTTCCTCTGCAACTGACCACGTGTCTTAGTTTCGCATTTACAACTCTGTATATGATAAGCGTCATAGTGACACCTACATGTTGCACATCATTTTTTTCAGCAAGCACTCTGCTACACTGCAAATGTGTCCCATAATTATTCTAATCATTTTTCTACATAAAATATCACATCAAACAGGGGATATCTCAATTTTTTAAGAAATTTGACTGGGTCTTTAGTACGAAACTATCCCCTGCCACCTTTAACTTTCAAAGTTTGCTTTTCAATTAAAATAACTTTCCATATCTAGAAAGTGCAATCAATTCTGAGTAAAAATATACTAAATATGTCTTATTTCAATGAAAAATAAAAAAGTTAGAGGCAAATAAGTGACCCCACCAATTGTCGGTCAACCACCTTAACCCCATATTCTTTGTGTTACTGTAAAACCGGTTCTTGTAGAAATTAAAAAATGACTGTAAGATGGTATATAGGGTTGGATTCTTAGTATTTATTCCGTGGAGATATATAGTTGATTTCAAGATGAATTAAATGTTTTAAATTAACCCTAAAATAACAATAACAACATATAAATACATAGACAACATATAAACAAGCACATTCACTTTACAACACAAAACGATCACAATTTAAACACATAAAACATTCATTTAAGCCATTACTTTACACTTTATATAAACGCATTCAAAGGGCGATAACTCTTTGAAACTCTTACTGAATTAATGATCTAAATTATATTTCTCTATACTGAAATATTTACAACTTTAAAAATATGAGTTTAACATACCAGTGTATGGAACTGAGTGATTTATCTCTTGATCAGGATGACTTTAAAGAGTTATTACATGATGACCTAATGGATTAATAAATTATAAAATCATAATAATTCAAACCCAGATCTTAATCCAAAGATCTACATGAATTAGATTAAAACATATAACTTGCTCTTACTTTACAATATCGATCTTAATTTTAATAACTTTAGAACTTTCACTCTAACACATTCATACTCATTTAGCAAGTTTATATTAAAATACTTTATTTTCATTCATTATCTTTAATTTTAGTTTATGATCATTAGATGTGTTTATAAAAGGTTTACTTACAGTTTATGGGTGTTTAATATACTCCAAAATATCAAATATTAAATTTTAAGCAATCACAAATCTCTAGCTACACCCTTCTCAGACAGTATCTTTGAATGGAATCCTAAAACAAAGGTTTCCCGCCTGAATGGACAACATTGACCAAACAATACCAACTGACCAATAGAATGTAGGAAAACAGACAATACCCTTATTTATAAATGGACTAATCCTTATATCTACCTTAACCCATAGTCTTTGGGTTAAACCATTATTTAAATAGGGATGTTTATGATTTAAACATACAAAATAAATAATATATTAGTAATGCAGGCGCAGCGCTTGTATAGATGTATGGATGAATGAATGAATGATTAATTCCTGAAATAAAATATATAGCATTAATTAAAATAAAATAAAACTAAGTACAACTACCACATTACTTCAAAAATGACCAACTCCTACAATCCAAAAGAAACTATTTCTTATCAAAACAGTGTTAAATGGTAACTTTGATCAATTTCAAATGCAGCTACATATAAAAAACTCAATAAGAATTGCATGCCTTGATGAAATGTACTCACATGTAACACATACTCTCCTATTTTGGATGTTTTGAGAAATCCCATTTTACCTCTTAATTGCTTGAATTTATACATCTACAGCTTGTTTGCAAAAAGAAAACCTAATCTATTTTTCAGGATATTTATTGTAATATACAAAAACCCCTCTTGCATCAAAGGTTCAAGAAGAAGTGCCCTGGAAATTGCAGTTATCTACCCTACCCCTCCAACCATTACCTGATTCTATTGAAAATATACTGTGGAAATCTGATTTTCCTGACTGTCCTTTTTCTGAGTATATTTCATTCAATTTCAACATATCTGAATGATCAAATACATGCATTTGATTCCCCTGAATATTTAAAGTGATCATCCTGTCCTTACTTGGCATTTGTGAGTAAATTTCAGGTGCTTAGTAGAATCCAATAATTACATGAAAATGTACATATTTTTGATATTTTGTTCATTAAATATGTAAAAAGACCATCTGTTTTGTTCTAATTTAAAGAAAAATATATAATCTATATGAAAATAATGAAAAGTTTAAGTTCTATCACATTATAGAAGACAAATGAGGGGGAGAATGAAGGGGAGGGAGGTATTTTTTTATGTAATCATCAATAGTAAAATGGGTCTAATTTGAAAAAAAATTAAAGCACAGCAATTCTTTGAATAAATGTGGTTCTGTGAACTGATATTTCTGCATACTGACTCATTCTTTTTTCAAAATAATGATATTTAGTGAAATACATGTAAAAAAGAGTAAATTTATGTAATTTCAGTGATATCGCAATAATTAAGCCCCTTTAATTTTAATTAATACTAAGTAATTGCATCAAAATTTGATAAAATATATGTGACAGTGCCCAAACTATTATTTTTAAGCAGATAAATTTTTCTCAGAAAAAAAATTGCCTTACTCTGTTAAGATTTGTTATGCTGATGCTTCAAACTCTTTGAAAATGTGAACTGGGAAAGGTTTACCCCCCTTGTGTTTAGGTCTATCTACCTAAATGAATAAGAGTCAAATGAAAGAAATGTGGTGAGTTTTGAAAATGGCATACATCAATAAACTTATTTAGAGAAGAATTAGACTAAATTACATATTTCTGAAAATTGGTGTTTTCTTGAAGGTGGCAGAGGATAGTTTTTTTTAATGCCAAACATATGCCGAGGGGGTACACATATACATGCGATCCATAAAAACATGTACATGGGGACAGTTTTCCAGGGGCTAATTAATTACACTTCATATGCCCATGGCTCACAAGTTATGTCAACAAATTACATGTAATCTGCGTATTAGAGTGCACATGTACCAAAAATGCACCTGGGGACTCCCCAAATTTTGGCTTGTTTTTCCAAGATTTGGGCCTCATTCATACCCATACAACCCACCCCCAGGCCCGAGCGAGCAGGATAAAACACCCAGTAGTCTGTAAATCAATGCAAGCCCTAATAAAAATTCACCAATTGATATGGGGTCATTCACCTTCCCTCTGAGATACACACCTTCTTCTAAGGCCTACTGCTTTTCAGCTGAATTTCCTCTGCAACTGACCACGTGTCTTAGTTTCGCATTTACAACTCTGTATATGATAAGCGTCATAGTGACACCTACATGTTGCACATCATTTTTTTCAGCAAGCACTCTGCTACACTGCAAATGTGTCCCATAATTATTCTAATCATTTTTCTACATAAAATATCACATCAAACAGGGGATATCTCAATTTTTTAAGAAATTTGACTGGGTCTTTAGTACGAAACTATCCCCTGCCACCTAAAGAAACAAGACGCACTTCCGTTTCGGGAAGTGAATGAAATTCTATAGCACATTGAGAAAATGTTCTATAAGTTTATTCACCACGTAACTGAATACTTTTGCATAGCAAAGTAGTTCGTCATGTCATGTGACATTGTGTGCGCAAAAATTTGCATTTGCCGAATGCCACACGTGCACGAAGCAGTTCACAAATGTCAATGCCTTTTAGACATCGTTTTGGAAGCGCTACTAATATGTGACGAAACATGTGATGTCCAAGTCTACACTGAGTGCGTTCGGCCTTTAACCTTTTAATGCATTCAGTGATAAAGAGGTGGATCTAATGCAAGAGTTGTTGTTTGTTTGTTTGTTTGTTTGTTGTTTTTTTTTTTTTTGGATGCAGTAATAAATACAACTGTGTTTGCCCTAATAGTCGAACCATAAAACGTTACGAATTATTTATACAGATATAAATACATGTATAAATAATAAAATGTCTTTCTTTGTTTGTTAATGCAGGGATTAAGAGTCGCAACCATTGCAGAAAATTATTTACAGTGCAGGTGTGTATTTGCTATTGTAATATTGGCGACAAACAAGTATAGCTATTATATATAGCGATATTATTATCTATGTATCTGTATCTGTAATTAAAATAACAGCTATTTATCGCCACACTGGGATATGTTCTTATATACAATAACAGCTATTTATGGCGACATACAATGATAGATGTATATATGGCATAATTACTATATATATATATATATATATATATATATATGTACATATACTTACAATAACAGCGATATATGGCGATATCATTCCCCCGATCCGAGCACACAGTGAACTAACACCCATGGCGGAATTCCGGACGACAGTCGGGAATAGTTCAGCGGAAAAAAGATAGATGGTGGCAAACGCTGTAGAGGCCCCGATCTTCCCGATAACAGACAAACCAACAACGCTCCACTGCACGCCTGAAAAACAGCAACAATATCACGTTCATTTTGAAAGCAGGGTTTTTTATATTACTATTTCCAGAAACGCTCAATCACAAATAAAATGGTCTCTGTCATTCTTAATACAATAAAGTTTTACGTTTGTTTATCAATTTAATGTACTCACTAGCATTGCCATACAGAACTGGAAATATGGTCAAAATACACGCAGCGCCACCTACTAGGAGAGAACTAACGTAAACTGGTTTTCTACCCAGACACTTCAGCGCTACCAGGGGAATTGAGTACCCTACGACTTCAGCCAGACTTGTTAGCAAGAAGTTAATGTAGATGTCGCCACCGAGGTTTCCGACATTCAAAGAGAGGCCAAAAAATAACATGCTGACAACCATCCTGTATATAAATAATATCGCCATGGTAACAAGAATCACTTCTGTACTAGTACTCTGTATGATTGGATTTGTTTTCTTTATGCAAGTAATACCATTAAAACGTGAAAATGGTAACATTTTATATTACTGCAAATTAGTCTCACAAAATCTGATAAAATGGACCATCTAAAAACTTACAAGGCACAAATCACTTACAAAGCATTCTAGGATTATTCTTTAAGCAATGAATACTTAAACCAGGTATTATATAGATAGATCTGTCCTGTTTTACTACACAGTCAGTTACTTACCAGTTAAAAAAAATGATCACTGATCTGAAAAGAAGTTTTGGCGTAACACACAGTTGCCACACCGGAATGCATCGGTCGTTTTCGAACGTTTCATCGTAGTCGAAGAGTTTTTCAGGAAGTTTCCGGTTATTTACATGAGCTGCATGGCGGAGAATATCTTCGGCTTCTTTTTCTCTTCCTTTAGTTAAAAGCCATCTAGATGATTCTGGGATGACGCTTAAAAATGAAGGAAACGGAGATCAAAACCTTGATTAAACTGGTATCCTAGTCCCTAATTACGTAGAGGAACTCTACGTTTTGGATTGAACATCTATTTAAATATATCTGCATCCAAGAAAACGTGTACTTTAGCATTAGTTCTTTTGCTTAAATGAGTGTATCACATTTACTAAATTAAATGAATGTGTTTAAATACTAGGTTGTCAAACATTAATCGACGCATATATAGAATGTTAAAGCTGAACACGATTCGTAAAAGAAAGTTGGAGAGTTATCTTTGTCCGCCATATTTTTCTTTTCTACACTATGTTCCTTCAGCTCCTATATAAACCTCAGTCTTGTTCACGTTCAGTGTATTTTATTTTACAGATTTCACCTCTGCCGACGTCTCCTCCATTGTCATTGAGATATATTTGGGCACGACAAAAATGACTACTGTATGCTTCTGCCAGGTCAGAAAGTTACCAAAGATATGCAATATCTACTGCATAGGTCAATGCATTTCAAAGTGAAACAAACACAAATGCACATTCAAAAAAAAACATGTGTATTAAAAAAAGGGGGAAAGAAAGAATATGCACTACACGCCGTAGCGACCAGCTAAAAACAATCGTGTAACAATTGCAAAGGGTTTATATACTCCAGTGCTGATATCGGAGATAGAAAAACTAATACGGCTTTTGACTATTTACAAGTCGTGTTCAGCTTTTTGCACCATGAAGAGGCTTTTTTCTTGATCATTTCAATCCTATTGATAAAAATTAGAAAACTGCTCACCATATGTAGGGTATAAATAGTAGGGCGGGGACGGACACGGCGAGGTTAAGATAGCGCCAGTCCCTGATCAAGTATGCAAGCAGTGCGAGTATCACAGCGCCAAAAGCCCAGAAATGCTCCAATGCGATCCCGGACATCATTCGATATGATGGACCCACCAACTCCATTACTATTAGAAAATAATTGTATATCAAAAAACATATATATAATGGAAATTTCTAAATGTTCGACCGATATGTTTACCACCTTCTCCAAAAAAGAATACAATTTGATACCACAGAAGTTTTTAAACAACTTTTTAAAGTTATAATGACCATGTTTTGAAATGTGTTTGCGTTAGTTTAAGATAAATTCGATTATTCTTCCTTACAAAACAGATATATTTTCTTCATAATTCATACCATATAAAGGAAAAATACTCAAACAACTCAAATATACATACTTTCACTTTCTACTTTATTTCTTGACTATATAAAACTAACTTCATGCTCAGTTTTGAAAGATGCAATTGTCCAAAGCCATCATACAAAACGTAAATCATTACTGATGAAGAACATATTGATTACATAAGTATTTTTAATTACATTTATTTAGTGCGTTATCAAGCTACACCCCTCTCCATAGAACGCATAGATATCACAGAAAGCTATTCCATATACTTTGACCGGTGGTAGTGACTAGTGTATGGATTTAAGATAGGCTCAGAATCCTCCAAATAAACTCATAAATTTTTCTAACAATTAAAGTATCTGAAATTTGCATTTCAATCCGAGATATTTTCCTTCATTTTCAAATAATTGCTGTTATTTTGTTCCAGATCTTTACCATGGATAAAGTTGCATGCGCCAGTCATTACCACTATTGTCATTCCAGAAAGAAAGAGGGTAACATGTTTACTCTTCCACCTTACAAAAAAACTAATTCATGTAGAACTCTTACTCATGAAAATTGGGACATTTGATTTAAACAACAAATATATAACGGTAATAACTTACTCATAGTAAAGGACACAGCCAAAAGACCCCCAACGGAGGCCCCCGATAGGAAACGTAGGCACATAAAGGTCAAGAGGTCACTGACAAAGGTCACAATGATGTTAGGGATGATATGTAAAGCGAGGCTCAACAGAAGTCCTTTCTTACGCCCGAATCTACAAAAAAAATCATAATAATGATAATTATTATAACTGATTACTTCAAGTAATTGCAAAAAATATTAGTTTTTTAGCTCACCTGAGCCGAGGGCTCAAGTGAGCTTTTCTGATCACATTTTGTCCGTCGTCCGTCCGTCCGTCTGTCCGTCTGTCCGTCTGTCTGTCCGTCCGTCTGTAAACTTTTCACATTTTTGACTTCTTCTCAAGAACCACTGGGCCAATTTTGACCAAACTTAGTACAAAGCATCCTTGGGTAAAGGGGAATTTAAATTGTTAAAATGAAGGGCCAAGTCCCCTCACAAGGGGAGATAATCAAGATAAGACAAAAATAGGGTGGGGTCATTAAAAAATCTTCTTCTCAAGAACCACAGGGCCAGTGAAGCTGAAACTTATATGGAAGCATCCTGGGGTAGTGTAGATTCTAAATTGTTCAAATCATGACCCCCGGGGGTAGGGCGGGGCCACAATAGGAAATACAAGTTTTACATTGAAATATATAGGAAAAATCTTTAAAAATCTTCTTCTCAAGAACCACTGGGCCAGAAAAGCTGAAACTTATGTGGAAGCATCCTGGGGTAGTGTAGATTCTAAATTGTTCAATTCATGACCCCCGGGGGTAGGGTGGGGCCACAATAGGGAATCCAAGTTTTACATTGAAATATATAGGAAAAATCTTTAAAAATCTTCTTCTCAAGAACCACTGGACCAGAAAAGCTGAAACTTATGTGGAAGCATCCTGGGGTAGTGTAGATTCTAAATTGTTCAATTCATGACCCCCGGGGTTAGGGCGGGGCCACAATAGGAAATACAAGTTTTACATTGAAATATATAGGAAAAATCTTTAAAATTCTTCTTCTCAAGAACCACTGGGCCAGAAAAGCTGAAACTTATGTGGAAGCATCCTGGGGGTAGTGTAGATTCTAAATTGTTCAAATCATGACCCCCGGGGGTAGGGCGGGGCCACAATAGGAAATACAAGTTTTACATTGAAATATATAGGAAAAATCTTTAAAAATCTTCTCCTCAAGAACCACTGGGCCAGAAAAGCTGAAACTTATGTGGAAGCATCCTCAAGTAGTGTACACTCGAAATTGTTCAAATCATGACCCAGGGATTAAGGCGGGGCCACAATAGGGGGAATCCCAAGTTTTACATTGAAATATATAGAAAAAATCTTTAAAAATCTTCTCAAGAACCACTGGACCAGAAAAACTGAAACTTATGTGGAAGCATCCTGGGGTAGTGTAGATTCTAAATTGTTCAAATCATGGCCCCTGGGGGGAGGGTGGGGCCACAATAGGTATTACAAGGGGGGAGTCTGGTAATGAACAGCATGGCCAAAGTTACTCAGGTGAGCGATGTGGCCCATGGGCCTCTTGTTTTCCATTTTTTTGCATTGTTTTCAGAGGAGTTCAAAGTTGAAAAATTTCACTGCATCTAAGTGCGACTTTTTTTAAATACAATAAGGAAATTGCACATTTAGGAAAAAAATTATGAAAAATTGCTACATCAAGTTATGTTGATTAGCTAAATCAAGCTATAGAGAGCTAATTCAAACTTCAGCTAAATCAAGAAATTGTGCTAGATTTGTTCAAAAGTGAAAATTTCAGTGATCCGTCACATGATATATTAGCATTCTGTTGATGAATCGGGTCCTATATATATGATATAGGAAAAGGAAATATTTTCCCAATGTTGTGTTTTGGTTACTATGATATGCCATGAAGTATGGCTAAAAGAGTCATTTAGAACAAATATATTACATTTTAAAACACGTCTTCTATACATTTGCTATCTCTGGGTCATGCACTCTGTACAAACGAGGAAACATTTGTATAAAATGGAGAGAAGATCCAAAGACCATGACATATGAACCTTTTCCAAAATGTAGTACAGTTGTACGTGTAACATGTATCTGTCCTTGACGTAAAAGAATCAATATGTTTTGGTTTGATCCTCGCTTTGAGTTTTTTTTTTTTAATTTTTTTTTTTTTAATTTTCTAAACCAGCAGTCTAGTCATAAATTTATGTGAGTTTGATTTTATTTACTTATTTTTAGAATTTTAATTTAAAATCAAATTTTGATTCTGTTGCATCGAGAGCAAAACCCACTGAAATTTTGAATACATTTGCATTTGACTCAACCTTATCACAATTTTGTTCTTCATTGATTATGTAAATATTAGCTAGGGTGTCGTAGCTGTTAAGATATTAAGCAGGCACTGAGGCTTAAATATTACAATTTTTGACATAAATTTCAATGATATATAACATTTTCCTGTCTGCAAAGCTTTCGTAGAGTGATCAGTCTGTCCAGCCGTAATAGACCAAATTGACTTGGATACTTTAAACTACATGTACTACTAGTATGAATAATTCTTAAATTCGTAAACTTGATTCGTGCTGATTTTATGACAAATACGCCCTTCCTCTTTGACAACGGTGTATTTTTGCGTAATAAAGATGTTTATTTTTTCCATAAATATGATTTACAATATAATCTAATGTAAATATGATTCATAATGTGATCAAATGTAATAGAAACGTAAATTATTTGTGACCCACTATAGCTTAGAGAATTATGTATGGGAGAATATTTTTTTCGTCGTAAGATTTTTTTTTTGTTGTTGTTGAATAGAGCCACAGGTTATCAGCTACCTCCAATGTGACATATCTGTTAGAGCGCATGCCTGGCACGTGTGCCATGAGAGCTTCTGAACATAACAGTATAAAAATTTGCTGAGTGGTCAGAATTTACTTGACACCGATAAAGAATTAAATAAACATATAACCTCTATGTACACCGTGTAAACATCTGAACGATCGCCTTGAAGGAAAGTATGCATTTATCTGGGTCAATTTTCTGCTTCGATATTAACCCGAGTTTTCATCAAGGTGACATTGTGTTTTCATTTGACTGTATGTAATAATGTTAATTATATCATATATATTTTCCTGCTCTCTCTCTCTCTCTCTCTCTATTTATATGTATATAAAAATAATTGAATTAATAACCTACAATAAGGCGATCGATCTTCAAACAAATCAAATTCCTATTGAGGTGCATGTAAATATCATAAGAAGATATTCTGATATTGTCAATTGTCTCTTTTTTTATCAAAAGAAAAACCAATAAGGAGAATGGTAAAAAAAAAAAAAAAAAATTAAAAATGCACAACAGGGACGCGCTTTTTGCTTTGTTAAATTGTTGCTGCTCTGTCGACTTTGCTGATTTTTTATAGGCACCTTTTCTTCGAAAACGAAAAAAAAAAATAAACTTACGCATCGGCGACTACACCAGACGCGAATGCTCCGACCATGAATCCCGCCATAAATGACATCACAGTGTGGGTGACGTAAGACTTCTTGTGACAGACGAGGTCTACCTGAAAATTTGATGCAATGAAGAGGAATTATTGAAGTTCTTTAAAATTTTACAACTATTAGGATTCTGGCATGTCAAACGTTGCAATATTCGATCTTTCTATTTCTATTGAATAATTTTCCATTTGTATAGTAAATTTCAATTGGATTGTAAAATTGTTAATTTGTATTCTATAATATTTCATTTGTATTCTATGATTTTCCATTTGTATTGCATAATTTTTTTATTTTCTTGTATAATTTTTCATGTGTATTATATAATTTTCCAATTGCACTTTATAATATTCCAGATAGGAAAAAATAAAATAAAAATGGAAAATTATAGAATAGAAATGGAAAATTGTACAAAAAATTTATTCAAAAAATGTACAATACAAATAACAATTAAACAATACAATTGAAAAAAAAACAATACAAACGGAAAATTGTTCATACAAATGAAAAATTTAAGATTACCAATGGAAAGTTTTAAAATACAGATAAAAATTATGGAATATAAATTAATGAAAAATCATAGAATATTATGGCATTTCAAGCTTTGCAATGTTCGGTCTTTTCCATTTGTATCGTATAATTTTTCATTTATATTTTACTTAATTTTCCATTTGTATTCTATCATTTTCTATTTGTATTTTTTTTTTATCAAGATGCAATTGGAACAATACAAATTGAAAATTTGTATTGTTCCAATTAGTATTTGTAAAAAAATTTGTATTTGTAAAAAAAAAAATTTGCATTAAGGAAATATGAAGATAACGAACAGTAATCAAGTTCAAAAGTCCATTGAAACAATACAAATTGGGAGCAGAGCAAACACCGATCTCTAAAAAAAAAAAAACAGAGATGGGATCAGGTGCCATGGAGGAGTAACCATCCCCCTGTCGACCGGTCACACCCGCCATGTGAAAATAATGGCCTAACAATTTATATGAAAAACGTCAGTCAGAAAATAAAAGGATTTAATGATCATTGTACACCTATGTACGTTTTCTGAAAATTTAACAGTAGATTATTGATAGGGGAGCCAAAACAGGGACCAAATTCCAGCTTCTATAAATATACATCCTTCGCTAAAAATCGGCTACTGAAAAGGAGATTGCACTTTTTTTGTATTAAATTACATGTATATATATTGAACAAACCTCGGTCACAAAAGTACTCAGAAAATCCGTCTTGTCGTAAACCCATTTCGAGCACTTCCGGATAAAGCTGGAATCTTCGATACTTGATTCGTTGTCGCTATGGTAACTGTATAAATCACATTGTGAGTAAGGTGACAACAGAGGAAATTTGGAAGGCGGCACACTGCGGTTAATCATCATTTCGTGTCCTGTGCCCTGTATCGCGTAGGTATCGTTTTCTGAGATAGCACACCTATAGATTAAAACATTTTTTTAATAATAATTTATTCTCTATCTCCACCATTGCTCTATAGATATGATAATTTTAGGGTATATCGCTTGGTCTGAAGGGAAATAACCTCAAGGCTGTTGGTGCCCCCCCCCCCCCCCCCGTTAAATGATACAAAAATAGATCTCTCTTAATCTCATTAATTTGCCGCTTGATCTCTGTCTCGAATGCATCCTCATAACGTCAGGGACCCTGGGTCAACTCGTAGCCACCCAGAACCTCTGACGCTGTGAATTCTGTGCCTCTATTACCGGACTAAAAATGTCAAGAATCGGATAAAATTGAAAATATAATTTACAGAATGATATCATTTATTTAAGAAATCGTCCATTCAGTTAATTCAACGTGGAAACATTTCTTTAAATTTTCCCAGGTCTGATCTTGTTTGATATTCTTATTTTTTTTAAGGAAAAGATTTAAAAAGAGTTAAAATTGTGCAGGGATAAGAAGAACGATTTTGAATTGAAAAAAAGGAATCAAGAGAGGATCTGATTAGGCTCTATTTCGCTTCTGAATTGTTCTTAAAAATAGAAATCATATTCTTATAAGTAGATGTTTATCAACCCAGATACATATGTTTTATTAAAGCTAAATTAAGCTAAATTACTCAAAAAAAAACTTTCAGAAAAATGTGTGAGTTCTATTTTTTCCAAGTTTTCCGACATTATTTTCTTTTTTTTCTTTTTCGATAAGTTACATATAAAATTGAACCTGGGACGGAAAACTTGTGAAGATGAACAATCATAGGTTTCTTGTCACAAATACAAGTAAAAAGGCTGGAGAAGTAATTATAATAGGTCTATTACATAAACGAGGCATGTTTTACCTTCACCGTTTCGACATTTATACGTTTCCAGAATAAAACCTGAAGGTTTCCGAAGAGAAATGTATCTCCCCCCCCCCCCCCCTGTCTAATTTTGAACTCTTATGCTTACTTCCTCATGAGGTTTTTCTTATAAATTAAGTGTCATATTTTTGAGATTAAAAAAAAATAGTTGAAAAGACTCCTTAAAAGAATTTTTTGATTTTTTCAATCTGATTAAAATCAGATCTTTGTTACGCTCCGAAATTCTGATAGTCGCATCAGACAAAGATCTGATTTTAATCAGATTGTGATTTTTTTTAGCTCTACTGGTCAGAGACCAGAAGAGCTTATGCGATAGTAAGGTGTCCGTCGTCCGTCCGTCTGTCTGTCTGTCTGTCTGTCTGTCTGTCTGTCCGTCTGTCAGTAAACAATTTTTCAAAACGCTACTCCTCCTACAGTTTTGGTCCAATTTCAATATAACTTGGCACACAAGTAGACTACACTAAGATACATAATTTAGTGCATCGGTTTTTGATTTCGATGGACGGTGTTGCCATGGTTACTAAAAATAGAAAATTCTGTGAAATTCCTTTAAAACGCTACTCCTCCTACAGTTTTGGTCCGATTTCAATATAACTTGGCACACAAGTAGACTACACTAAGATACATAATTTAATGCATCGGTTTTTGAATTCAATGAACAGTGTTGCCATAGTTACTTAAAATAGAAATTTTTGTGAAATTCCCGTAAAACGTTACTCCTCCTACAGTTTTGGTCTGATTTTAATCTAATTTGGCACACAATTAGAATACACTACGATACATAATATGTATTTCCGTTTTGTTTATTTCGGTGAATGGTGTTGTCATGGTTACTAAAAATAGAAATTTCCGTAAATTACTTTCAAAACGCTACTCCTCCTACAGTTTTCATTTGATTTCAATATAACTTGGCACAGAAGTAGACTACATTAAGATACATAATTCTATTTATTGTTGCATGTTGCAAATTTCAAATCCAAGTGCTACTTTTCTTTTGTTATACGTACAGACCAGTAGAGCTACAGTCTCATCAGAGACTTCTGCTTAAAACTGTGAATTACTTGTTCATAAATGGAAAAAAAAAAAAAAAAAAAAAAAAAAAAAAAAACATGAACCCAAGAAATTTGATGACGTAAACTGTACAATGTAATCATTAAATTTATTTTTTGACATAATGTTTCGAAGTACCAATTCAATTCCAAGTCCCGGATAATTTTCAAGTACTAAAAATAAATAATTTTCAAATGTTGAATAATTAAAATATTTTATTTGAATATTAAACACTTCATTAAATATATTCGTTAATTAACGAGTAGAAGCTGGTATGAAAGTAATATATAATTTTTGCTGAGGCAATTATAATAATGAGACCCACATACCTTACACACATTCTCTAAGAGTGCACGTGCACTTAATGATATTATAATTGTCAGTACTTGTTAACGGAATATATCTATAAACCGTAGAAATCGGCCAAGGTTTATAATTATGTACACGGAGTATTCGCCAGTAATAAAATATCTAACTAACCCAAGGGTTAGAAAAAAAAAAGGAAATTACACAGCTTCCAAAAATATGTAGACGTTCATAATAACTACAGAGTTATAGTGATGACTTAAAGATCTTATCAATAAACCCGACAAATCTTCATGTTCCGCCAGCGAAATGATATATCAAATCCGCCACTTATTTGCTAACGTTCCGGCATTGGTTCTCTCTGTTTCTTGAGATCCACGTAACTAACCTGATTTTACACGTGCATTCTGGGTGATAGATTATAACATACATGGAGAGAGCATGCAGGATCTGCAAAAAGTAGTCGACTTATATCACCCCATCCTATTATTATACAATAATTACACAAAAATGTCATTTCTCATATGATATATGCCCTCTATCTTGCACACATTTCGACGTTCGGGCATTGCTCGGAGTGCTCTAGAAATCGGACAAGACCAAGATTCTCTCTCTCTCTCTCTCTCTCTCTCTCTCTCATGCACATGTATTTATGGCACTGGGGCAAAAACCAGGGTGCACTGGAAATAGGGCAAATCTCTCCCGATTGTTGGCTAATCGTTGACACTCGTTACATGTTTGAGAGTTTATCAGTTCGGCCTTCGATAAATAACTTTTCTTAGCGTTCAAGGCTATAAATAAAAGTTGTAGAAGCACCTCTCTATACATGTTGTCGATTAGCAAAAAAAAAAATATTTTATGTCATCAATACTTCGTTGTAAAAAAGGAATTTAGTTTTGCACAGCCGTGATGAACATATAAAACCACCAGTTTGAGCATTAAAACCACATAAGTTATAAACATTAACAATTTTTGAGTTTTTAAACTTGAAATGATGGAGTCTTGTTATTTTAAAGTAGATTTTATAAAATTATTATTTAAATCAAAATTAAAATTGTTATTTTTTATCGGGGGAGGGGGGGGGAGGGTTAACAAGATATCAGGTTTGCGTGTCAATATGGAGGCCAAAGGAGAATTTTTAACATTAAAACATTTAACTGAGTGTAAAGATGAATCTCAAGCAAAGAAGTTTAAAAGAAAAGACGAAATAATAAAAAATAAATGAATATAAAAGAATAATAATTTTTTAATTCAAAAATATGAAATAAATAAATAATAAATCAATCAATCAAACAAACAAACAAAGAAACTTTAGACATACCGTAAAACAGTATTGAGTTGAATCTGAAACAGGGTGGAGGTATGCAAAATAAATAAATAAATTTATTGATCAACTTTAAAGACAGGCCGTAAAAAAAGTATTGAGCTGAAATCGCGGGACCCTGACCCGTGATGGGTGTACTCAGAATCGTGGCACTGAAGGGTAAAGGGGATGAGGGTATGTACACTAACCTGTGATTGGGGACCCCCAGGATGAAGACGGTCACCATAACCTGCATGGCGCTGGTGATGATGGGGAGACAAAGGAGAACGTAGACCCTCCTCTGGTACCTCCCAAACTCGCCCACCTGTCTCAGAACGCTATCGTACGTCATCACGACTGGCGGAATTAAACTGCTGTCACTTTGTCCGTCTGTCTGTTTAGGCCTCTCTAAAATTCTCCAAATTTATCACCGAATAAAATCCTTGGTCAAAATTTACAGCGATATGCAAAGCCAGGGAATGCTGCGTACTCTTCGTAGGTCACCAGCTGATCTGGTGCACGGGGTATCCCCGTTTATTTATAACTTAGTTGATTGTACTGTTCCGGCCTACTTGCCGTGGAAAATTACGCTGTTTGTATTTTGGCACAAAATTGTATTTGTATTATACGTCGAGTGTTGTCAATCCAAATTTTATCGTATTTTTGTTTAGAAGTGCGCATTTATAATGATTATAGAATGAATCTGTCAACACGAGAACCTCCGATAAGGAGGTCAACCTTAAGATGACAACATGTTGCTTCACAAATAAAAGTAAATTTTCGATTGATTTATCAGGTAAAAACGCAGGTATATGCGTAAATCATGCCATCGTTCATTAACTGCGCATACTACGGTCAAGATTTGACCTCATGTTCTACATCAGAGGAAAAAAAACCTCCGTAAGTTCATTGACTAAACGGCCAATCAGTGCTCCATAATTCCATCATTCATTTACCACAAGGGCGGATCTGGGAATTTTTTTCAGGGATCCATATCCACTCAAAAAAATCCCCCCAAAAATATCCAAACAAAAAAGGGTAAAATAAAATTTTCCCAAAACACAAGATACGGGTGGGTCGTCGGGGTGGGAGGGGGGAGGGGGGAGGGGCTGTCCACCCTCATTAACAAGCCACTTTCTTTAATATATATAACTCACCGTCGAGAGTGGTCCCTGTTTTTTTTTTTTTTTTTTTTTTTTTTTTTTTTTTTTTTTTGAAGGGATAGGGTTCAAATTAAGTCATTCTTCGTTTATTTTACTACATATAAAATCCATAGAAATAATTAAATAATTATATAATATAGTTTAAAAGACGTACATCTATGGTATGAAAGTTATATATACTTTTGAGAGACATTTAATAGTATGCCGTTAAGATGCTTGTATATCATACATATTTTTATAAATTTATTCTTATCTTATTTAATACAGTTTTGTTACATTAGTAATTGCGTAAAGGCTTGAGTTCAATGAACTCTATTTTAATCATTGCATTGTTTATTCACAGTTTGCATTTGTACTGAACACTAATAATTATAAACTCCTAATATAATTAATTGTAATTAAGTCTATTTTACAGTTAGTGTTAAAAAAATTATCCTTTCTATTGCTATATATGACAATGTAGGGCTTCGTCTTTTTTATGATATAATAAATAATTGACACCAAATTAATCCAGCTAGTTTCATCTAGTCTATCCTCCTTCCAGCGAGCTCTATATAAACATACAACTGGACCACGTGTACTTTCTAAATAATAGAACTGGACTTAAATGAACTGCCCCAGCAAAGTGATTTTTTCTTTCGTAATTTAGTATATTTTATTAATTTTCACATGGATTTATTAGCATGGAACTAACATTACCAAGTTTTGTGTTATATCTCAAAATAAATACATTGGCCTTCAAATTAGGTTCCATCAATAGAATACCCCCCCCCCCCCAACTTGGTGCTTTTACGAACCCTCGAGTTCAATGACACGCCGGGAATTTCAAAGGGATTTCAGCCATTGGCGTCAATTAAGATTACGAGGTAGGGAACCAGTCTAACTGCGTCATATGTAAACATATTATTGTACTGTACCTCACGTACCATATTAATATGGTTTGAGTGAGTAATTAGACTGCCTGGACTGGACTGAACCGCCTTTAACAAGTTCTTTTTGCTTTTTACTGCCTGAAATTTTCAGCATTGACAAATTTATAGGAACACACCGATGGTGTTTATCTTAAAGTTTACCATTTATTGATGTATTTTTCAGAGCAAGCTGGAACATTTTTATGCCCCCGTAATCGAAGATTCGGGGGTATATAGTTTTTGCCCTGTCCGTCCATCTGTCTGTCTGTTTGTTGCAAAAACTTTAACCTTGCCTATAACTTTTGATTGGTTGGCGCTATGGCTTTCATATTCACATGTACATTCCTTGTGACAAGACCTTCCTTTGGATACCAGCTTATTTGACCTCCATAAACTGCCTCTTGACCTTGGAGTTTGACCCACTTTTGCAAAAATTATCCAAATTTAGCCTTGCCTATAACTTTGAATAGTTAGTGCTATGGCATTCATATTTCACATGTGTATTTATCGTGACAAGTCCTTTCCATGGGTGTAAATATTTTTGACCTTGATCTTAGAGTTTCACCCACTTTTTTAAAACTTTAACCTTGGCCATAACTTTTGCACGCTTAGTACTAGGGCTATCAAATTTCACAGGTATATTTTTTGTGGCAAGACCTTCCTTTGGATACCAACAATTTGGACATTTTGACCTTCACCTTGGAGTTTGACCTACTTCTGAAAAACTTTAACCTTTACCATAACATTTGAACAGTTGGTACTAGGGCTTTTATATTTTGTATGTGTATATCTTATGACAAGGTCTTACACTGAGTACCATTAATTTTGACCCTTTGATCTTGACCTTGGAGTTTTTAGAAAACATTAACCTTGACCATAACGTTTGAATGATTGGTGCTTGGGCTTTCATATTTACCAGGTATATCTATTGACATAACTCCTTTCTTTGGGTAACAACATTTTTGATAATTTCTTGACCTTGGAGTTTGACTTGCATTTAAGAAACTTTAACCTTCGCGATAAGCTGCCATACAGGGGTATCAATATTTCACAAACACATCTTATTATGATATGATCTTATCTGAAGTAGCATTTATTTAGATTTATTCTCAGATATCCTCCTTGTATATAAGTACATTGGTATTAAATACATAATTCTTGAGCAAAACTAAAAAAAGAAGGCACAAAACAATTTATTTAGCTGAATTAATATCTGAAAAATTATAAATCTTTAAATCATCACTATTGAATATAGATATGAAAATTATGATAATAGAATTATAAAGTGATCTAATAGATGTAAATTTTAAAGTTCTTTGGACACAAATCAGTATTTATATGAACATCAATAATACATAACACACCCCAATAAATTATGTATAACTTCTTAATAATAAGTATAACCTTAAAATGAATCTTACAGAAAAATGAAAGACGACAAACTGTTTGTAGATTGATATGTAAAATCCTCTGAACATGTAAATAAAACTCTTCAAACATACTGTTAATTATGGCTGGGGTTTTTGTAAATATAAAGTTAGCATGGATTAGGAGTATTCTCTCTCTCTGTCTCTCTCTCTGTCTCTCCTTCTCTCTCTCAATCAATCAGTCAATCAATCTCCTATTCTATCTAGGTCATTTTCTCCTATCTCTTTTAATCATAAATTTACCAACTTGAGTATACAATGCAGTTCATTTTATTTCACTTAATTGTGAAAAAATACATATAAAATTGCAATAAAGAATATTCATTTCACCAGATTTCACACAATTATTTATAGAGCGTGAAAAGACCTCCCTTGGAATGGGGAAATAAGTTTAACCTGGATGATCCTGTCCTAGAACCAATGTTTACACATCGCACACCTGATTACAACATGATCTCTGATTGGTTGGATAGTTGTCATGTTTGTAAATCGTCGGCTCTGACTGGTTCGTTTAAAGGCTGGCTGGTGACCGTATCTAACTCAACACTGTAGACAATTTTATTTGATCTGAAAGAGAAATACAATTATAATTTAAATTAATAACAGGCAAGCACACTCCATATAGAACCTTTACCTATGATCTTTGGTGCAAGGGTTAAAGCACTTTCTATTATCATAGGACCATAAGTTCACGTATCTGAGAGAAAATTAATTCATATTTATTTACTAAGTGATGAGTGATTTTAACCAAGAGCTTCAGGAACAGAAGTTGCTCATCTTTAAAGCTTATTATTAACGGAGGGTTTGTCAAACGAATGATTACGTCATTTTAACGATGTTAGGTTCAATGAAAACCAAAAAGAATCATACAAGTGAAATTCTTCTGGAATTATACTTTAATAATCAAAGAACATTAAAAAGAAATTGTCGAAGATTTTTTTTTTTAATATTTGGTTGTAAAATAAGAGCAACACCTGGGACTGTACCCTCACAACGTCAAGTATCCAGAGTCAACTCTTTGCCTTTGGACAACGAACCCTGACGTTGTGAGGATGCTGGAACTGCTGCAAATGACGCACAAAACATCAAATTCAAGGCTAAAATTAAAGCTTTCGTTATCTTATTAAATAACTTTACAAACTGCATTTTAAACGGAATCGGTGTATGAAAACATTTCGGATCAGTACTCAGCTTGGATCAGCTCGGGATCGTAATTCACGTAAATGCAGTGTAGACGAAATCATGCCGAGTACAGATCACTTCAAACAAGTGATTTTAGAATGTGTACTAAACTGTTCTGTAACAAATAGAGCTATATTAAAGAAAATCCTCAGACGGCATGTACAACGATTTAATTAAAAGGCTTTGTCCTGTTGATAGATTAACAGATTACCTCTTTCAATCCAGATATTTTTTTTTTAAACAGGAACTACATTATTGGGCATCACATAAATGTTTTTAAAAATTGACCATCTTATTATATTCTTAACGTTTTTACACGCCCTGCAATACTCTATTTTTTTTTTTTTTATTTTGAACCCCCTTACTGGTGGATGTCAGGTTATAAATAGTTTTAAGTATGGCATATTTTCCTCCGATTTATTTCCTTTGGTCAACCTGTGATTTTTCTTCTTTGTCTTACTAAAATTTAACCGGGTGTAGCAGAAATATTTCTTCAGAAAAACAATGTTTCCTACACTTCAACGATAAGTAAGACAAGATAAATTTGATTAAATAATGAAGGAAACCGAGCATTTTGACTTCCAAAATTCTTACGGCCAACGGGAAATTACTCTAATTTCACGTTTCTCGAAAACTATCCTTATTTGAAAGCGGAATTATAAAACAAACGTTTACGTTTGAACAAAAAATGAATATATACATAAATCATACAGCATCCTGATTTTCCCCATAAACTCACCGATCAAAAGCGATGGTGTCTTCGATAGTTTCCGGTAACTTCCGGTTCAACGTTTCTGGTAGAATAATTGACATTAGACCAACGATAACTGCTGAGACTCCAAAAACAGTCATGGGAAGCACTCGTGCAACATTTCCTTCCATTATTTGACCCTGTAACAAAGCATTGAGTAGAGTTAACGTCGTGATAATTTCATATCGTATGCAACCGTTTCTCTCGAACGCAGGTAGTACTTGTACATATCGTATCACTCTGGTCTGTAAAACAAAACTAAGTACTTTACAATTGAAAAAAAGTACTGTTTAAATTGCACTAGTTGATTTAAAACTAATAAACCCCCTTCTGCATACCCCTTCGGTCGGGAAGTATGAACATAAATAATATTCATGTCCATGTGCTCAATTTTTTTTTTTTTTAAAAGACAGTTCTCTAAATGTACGATTATTAGAAATTGGACAACTGTTATACTCTTATGAGAGTCTATACCATTTTTGAAGTAATATACACTGCTAAAATAAAAGTAGAAGGCCATTGCATCTCTTTTTCTCTTCAGGTAAGTTAGAAGAATTCTCATTTTTTAAATCAAATTTAGCTACGAAAAATAAAATATTTAATGGAACTGTATGATTGTGTCTTTCTACTTTGTCCTTACTGTTTTGTATAGATTTTTTAAGTGTTACTTACTCGGCTAAACCTCAAACAAAAGAGTCTCATTCTAAAGGAAAGATATATTACCATAAATACAGAGTAGAAAAATTAAACCCTGCACTGCAATCCCTCTGTAAAAGTATAAGTCCGAACTGGCAGCCATCTGAAACATTAATTCTTGACTGTCATCTTTCTGTAAAAGTAACTTTCTGACTCTCGCTCAGCTATAAAAGTAAACCCAAGGCTGCCCTCCGCATAAACGTCTTTATTTTGACGTAATACTGTTTTCTCTTTTCTTGACGCCTCGCAGGCACTATGGGAACAAGAATCTCACTGAAATAAAAGGGAAGTAACTTTTGTATTCATTGAAATTCAAGTAAGAGAAATAACGGGGGAGGATTAAAACTCAACTTCTACACGCATCTCCATAAAACATTATCATCTGAAATATCAATTGAAAATTTATTTAGAGAAGCGCTGCAACATAACAGAAACAAAAATATGTTTTTATTGTTAGTATTGAATATTGTTAGCAATACTGTCAAAAGGATAAGATAATAATAAGAGAAACCCCCCCCCCCCGAATTTAAAATTCACTCACCCTATCTACACGATGTGAACATAACAGTTACTGTATTAGTATACTAGTATGCATTGTTTAGCATTATGAATTATATACAGAAAAAATACATAAATCTAAAGACATCCTAAAAGTTTAGAATTAAAATAAAATGCAGCAAAATTATCTTACTAGATCTACAACATATGGGGCCAACATCCCGCCAAATCGCGCGCAGAAGTTGGTCACTCCAATGGCAGAGTTTCTGATGACTGTGGGGAAAAATTCCGCGGAGTACAGAAAGACGGTGGCAAAGGCTGCGGAGGATCCAACTTTACCGATGAGGGAGAGCCCCACTGTCACCCACTGTTGATCTGTAAAAAAAAATCCCAGGGACATGATTAGACCAAATTTCATTCTTTATCATTATGTGTTTAGTACTTGTGTATCTTACTTAAATTGTATCAACAAAATTAACGTCCACTGGGTCTTTTTTTATCTCCAAAACCATAAAATTTGGTCCCCAAAAAGATTAATGAAATCACAGTAAACTACCGTTGCCCCTCGACTTACCCCTTTCTCCGTACAGTATCGGAAATATAGTGAGCACGAGAGCGAATCCACCGGAGAGAAGGGATAAGACGTAGACGGGCTTCCTCCCTACACGATTGAGGAGGGGTATACACAACAAGAAGCCCAAAATCTCCGCCACACTCGTCATGAAAAAGTTCAGATAGACATCGCCCCCAAGATTGCTGACGTTCAAAGACAATCCACTGAACTCCATGGAGACCACCAACCTATAGAAATCATCGAATTAATCGTCAACAACATCAACTATCGTCATCTTTATTATTGTTTTCATTGTCAACATCATCATCATCACAATCTTCACGTTGTTGAAGTTATTCTTGTTATTTTAAAACGGTATATTAAGTAACTATAACTTTCAACTTTGCATAAAATTTAGACGTTATATATATAATTAAATACCCAAGAAGATGTCTTTTTTGAGCAGTACATACCAATTCAAACATATAACAAGAAATCTAACAACAAGTAGTCGAGCTGAACAGAGTTTCCCAAGGGAGACGCGCCGTCTATTGGTGGTCTCGTTTTCATTTCCTTTAAAAATTCGATCCGGGCATTTTCGTTTGTTAACCTTAGCAGCATGCTGGAAGATTTTTTCTGCCTCTTTGTGTCTCCCTCGGACTATCAGCCAGCGAGTAGACTCCGGGACTAACCTATAAGTAAAAGGAAGTAGGTCATATACTGAATAAGTCAAGTCATAGATATCTAGGCTTTGAATAATTCATAATTTAATTTTTTCATGAACACTAGAGATTCAAGGTGAAAATTATATCTTTCGATATGAAATTCAGCATTGAATGCTATACTGAAAGAAAGATTATATAAGTATCACTGAGGAGGGTATAATTATAAAATGAAATTTACCAATATTATAAAATGATATTTACCAATAATAAAACATGTTGTTATACTTTTAAAGATTAGTTTCTCTATAAATCTATGCTAAAAAAAGTCTAACATTTCTAATGTTTCACTGAGTGGTCATTAAAAAATCGATGTTTGACCGCAGAGCGAGATATTGGACCTGTGGACGAGATATTGGACCGGTTAAGTCACACAATGGGCGGGATCAGCTAAATCTTATTTGCATTCGTTGGTATGGAAGCCAGCACAATATGTGCATGTATAAAAAATAAATAAATAAATAATTGAAAAGTATAGCAAAACATTTATTGACTGTGTTCTCGGGCAAAATGCGTTTGGTCGACCCCTCGAACCAAACTGTTTGCCTGAGGCCTAACGGCCTCAGGCAAACAGTTTGGTTCTTGAATCCGACAAAACGCATGTTGACCTCGAACCCAGTTAATAAATGCAAAACATTTACCAATTATATAAAATGATATTTACCAGATATAAAATGATATTTACCAATATTATAAAATGATATTTACCAATGATATAACATGAAGTTTACAAATGATATAAAATGATATTTACCAGATATAAAATGATATTTACTAATGATATAAAATGATATTTACCAGATATAAAATGATATTTACTAATGACATTTACCAATACTATAAAATGATATTCACCAATGATATAAAATGATATTTACCAATGATCCAAAATTATATTTACCAGATATAAAACGATATTTACCAATATTAAAAAATGATATTTACCAATGATATAAAATGAAATATACCAATGATATAGAATGATATTTACCAGATATAAAATGATATTTACTAATGATATTTACCAATATTATAAAATGATAGTTACCAAGATGAAATATATGGAGATAACGAACAGTATTCAAACTCAAAAGTCCATTAAACAATACAAAATAGGAGCAGAGCAAACACGGACCTCCAAACATCAGAGGTGGGATCAGGTGCCATAGAGGAGTGAGCATCCCCTGCCGACCGGTCACACCCGCCGTGTGTTCAGTGTGTAAATAATGGCCTAACAATTAGTATGAAAAACGTCAGTTATCATTTGACTCAATGATAAATTGTATTTGCTGACAAGGTCATCGTATCGACCATAGAACTTACGAAATGATGACTTTAAACGAGACAGCTGATATTCTTGTTTCATCAACTTGTTTGTCAATAATTTACCTCGTTTTAGAAATTGTACATACGTAGAGCATGCTCTTGCGTACCGAATCAACTGAAAGATATATTCCCCGTATGTAGGAGATGAAGGTATATTGCTGCATAAGTAAGGGAAGTTGACGATTGAAAAGTTAAAGTCTTCACGTTTATCATAAAGCTTGGTTGTTAGATTACCATTAACGTCTTTTTCAAGTGAAATATCCATATGAAACAGATGTGTCAGACTCTGTGGGATCTTTCATCTCAGGCTCACCAGGATATATCGTATCGACATAAGAATGGAAATAGCCATTGTTAATTGACAATACGTCATCGATATATCTAAATGTCGAGTTGAAGGCCACAGCAAGTGTTTTCTTCTTTTCACGTACAAGATTTTGGACAAATTCTGCTTCATGTGAATGATATAAAATGATATTTACCAATGATATAAAATGATATTTACCAATGATATAAAATGATATTTACCAATGATATAAAATGATGTTTACCAATGATATAAAATGATATTTACCAATGATATAAAATGATATTTACCAGATATAAAATGATATTTACCAATGATATAAAATTATATTTACCATATATAAAATGATATTTATTAATGATATTTACCAATATTATAAAATGATATTTTCCAATGATATAAAATGATATTTACCAATGATGTAAAATGATATTTACCAATGATATTTACCAAAATCATAAAATGATATTTACCAATGATATAAAATGATATTTACCAATGATGTAAAATGATATTTACCAATAATATGACAGAAACAGTATGGTTGGCAGTGATGTAGCGAGATTTAGGTAACGCCAGTCCCTGATGAGGAACGCTATCGCCGCCAGAAGCAGAACTCCCAATCCCCAGAATAACTGGAAAAACATTCCCGCCCACATCCTCATTCTGGGCCCAACTAACTCCAAGTCTGGAACGAATTCAGAAATTTCACTCTGAAGATTAATGAAGTTTCATTGCAATTGAATTTTGCGCACACATCCTTTTTCTTTTGATGTTATATTCATTTCCATGTGTGTTAATCTTGCATTTTACATCAACAAAAAGTGGGGAAAATCTGTAATATTAGTTTCTGTTCCATGTGAAAAAAGATTAAAATATCGTTCGAACAGTAATGGATATTGATATCCTATGATATGCAATAAACTCACTCATTACGTATGTCGTACTTATAAGACCACCGACGGAAACACCCGAGAAGAACCGAAGCGTTGAGAAGACCCAGAAGTCGGTGATGAAGGACAGAGGGATGTTTGAACCAACATGGAGGAGAATACTAAACATGAGAGCAAGCTTCCTTCCGAACCTAAAAATTTTAATAAAATTGTTTTGTTTAGAAAACTACCTTCGTAATAATTAGCAGTTGTAGCGTTGAAATTTAAAGACATTGAATTTATATAGTGCGCAGTGTTATTATTACTACTTAACTGGATTACAAAAGAAGAAATCAAATTATGTACATAAATCTTATCGTAAATACATGTAAAATGATGACATTGATGTTATTTTAGGTTTCATTTGCTACATATTTGTTTATTTATTCTAACCACCCTAGGAAAATAACTTTGCTCTTCTTCTTCAAGACTCCAAATACTATTAATTTTCCACTTTTATTTATTTTTTATTCAAGCCTGGCACATTGACTAGATATAAGCTCTGTCTGTCTGTCTCTCTGAATTGAACTCACCCGTCTGAGAGAACTCCTATTCCAAACGACCCAGCAGTAAAGCCTGCCATGAACGTCATTGTAGCGTGCGTTCGATGTAGTTTCTTTCTACACACCAGATTATCCTTGAATGTCAATCAATAACAAGGGTTACAATGAAATCACAACACAATAAACTCGAAAAACGTACAGGTAAGATTCATCGCTCTTTGTTCATTCATATACAGTTCTGCTTTTAACACTAATGATTTTCTAAAAGAAATTTAATCTATAATTAAAATGCACATTGTTTCATTAAGCCTTGCTGGACATAATTTGAGAGAAATGGCTAAATTTTTATATGAGGTAACAGCCATTATTATACCTCTACTGATTTTTCAATATATTGATGTAAATAAGTCCCTAGATGGACTAATCCCCGTTTTCTCGAGCGTTAGTCAAGTGATCTAGTGAGAGTTTTAGATTTTACCTCTGTGACAAACGTGCTGTCAAATTCCCGTTTGTCAAACACCCATCGCCTACATTCGTGTGAATATAAGGATGAATTATGGACTGCTTGTATTTCAGTCCTCTGGGTAGCATTTAAACGTCTTTTGAAGACTTCACACTTGGAATAACGTATGCCCTCGCTAATGCTGGAGTGTATTTGAAGGTCTAGTGGTATTGTTTGATTGACAAGCCGCTCGTGGTGGGGACTCCGAATTACGTACGTGTCGTTATGAACATGAGGAATGGAGCATCTAAGTTAAATAAGGGGAAAAAACACACCGTATGACTCGCAAGTTTACAATGCATATAGTTTCATATAAAATATTTAACACATATTTTTTTCCCGACAGTCTGATTAATATTATGTAATATTTTTGCATTGCTCACCTAAAAATTTGAAATTCAATTCATTAATAATGAAAATGAACTACTTCTTACTGTTCTACGTTACCGTTTTTACTTTAACTATTTTTGTTTTACTTTCATCTGCTATTTACATGTATCTGTTACTTTGCATACATCTGTTCAATTGGAATTTAATTTTACTTTTACAAGTGATTAAAGTAATATTTGCTTTAACTTTCACGGATAATTTAGCTGTATTTGTACTTTACTTCATGTTGTACTTTAAAAGTATTTTTACTTTTTTGTATTTTTTACATGTACTTTCAGTTTTACTTTCTAAAGCTGTAACTTTACTTTCACTTTTTTTCTCAACTGTAACTACATTTACTATAACTAGTACATAGAATGTGTATTTTACAAGACGTATATTTTGACTGTATATAAACCATGCTTGAAAATTAATGCATTTTACCTATGTTTATATCTGAATTTTTACCTGTGGTCCGGCACAAACAGAATGAAGACGGACAGACAGGTTTGTATTGCGGTGAAGATAACAGGTAGTGTCTGTAACACATACAATCTCTTCTGGTAAACTCCAAAGGATCCTATCAATTCGAACACGTCATCATACGCCATTGTGACCACTGGTCTATGAGTATTTTTATTCGATTTGTATATATGTATTGTTTGACCTCTGGGGATCCAGAGAAGTTGTTTTAATGATTGAGAAATTCCTAAGGAATCCAAAATATACAAGGAAATAGTGTAACCAAGTGGTAAGAAGTGGACAATTTATGTAGCTATTTTTGGTAGCAGAAATGGCGAATAGGATCCGATGATGAGAGGGCGTCTTTTTATGTCTGTTTTACAGCCTCTCTGATTTTGACGACGAAGGACGAAAGTGAAATCGATCACAATACTGGGAAAAATCAGGAATTTGAAAGCGTATCAGTGACCATGAATGACCACTCCTATAATTTACTATTCGCCATCGAGGAGCCGTGATTGAAGTTTAGTCAGCTCCAGGGACGTGACCACTGCGCATGTGCTGTAATCTCGACAGGACCCAAAGGCATTTTCCCTGGACCAGTGGGCTCACAACCTACTTCTATTGTGTCTCTGGACTAAATTTGTTTCGAGTCTCAACTGCGGGTCCGAATAACGTCTGTAGGTAGAAATAAAATAAAATTCCAATACAAACTAATAGACGTCACCGATATCAGAGGCAAGTTTCCATGTTCAAGAATCTGCAAGAAAAAGAATGGTTGACTTTTCTTTGCATTCAATTAAAGTTGTTAAGGTCTAAAAGGTAAAATATGTCGGTATGTTACATGTAAACAAAAGGCTCATTGACCACATCACTCACGGTTTTTTTTCTGAAAATAGTGAATCAATAAGTTATCATTTATAATTTTATTAATATAAATTAATAATCTTATTAATATAAATTCATTTTTCTTCAAACGTTGTTCCCTTTAGCAAGAGTGAAATTAACCACATTAGGAGGTCATAAGGTTGCATACGTATAAATATTATATGATAAAAAATATTTTCAGACCTCCTTTTAAGGACACAATTTAGTAAGACAAGAATTATTCCAATTTAGATACATATTTACAAGTATGCTTACATTGTGTACATGTATAATCAGTTTTTTTTGTGTACAAACCAATGCCCTTAGACTATGGAGGGACCCTGTAATATAGTAAGTCAATGAGTTCAAATATTACGTACACATGAAGACGGATTATGAAGTCGAGAAAGCGGTTGTGTTGAATGAAATTTAGAAACTGTGCATTTTCTTTTTCTGTAATGATTATACATACATACATACATACATACATACATACATACATATATATATATATATATATATATATATATATATATATATATATATATATATATATATATATATATATATATATATATATATAGTCTCCTGATTTATATCTGGGAGTGTGGTTAATGTAGCTTATTGTAAAGTCATACGACTGTGCAAACGAATCCCACACATACATGTTATTATACACGACAGTAACAGGCTCACACTGTGCAGTGAAAAGTTCACGTATAGCTAGCCATTCGATCCGACACCCCATTCTGAACCTCCGTTATCAAGTTAATGTATGTTTATTACTTTCTTGGAAGGCGTAATGAATAATTTGATTCTTAAGTATGGCCTCTTATTATGACCCCATATTGGATCTTAAGGGCTACTGTTCGAACAAAGCCTAAATACCTTACATCTCTCTCTATCTCTTAAACTTAACTGTTCATGTAGGTACATTCAATTTTTGATTTCTTTTCTGGGCAAAATAAATAGAATTTTGATTTTTTATTGCTTGGATCTGGGTTTTCTTCTTTCGTTTTTGCTTATGCCCCCCCCCCCCCCAGTTACAAAAAGAAGGCAAGGTTACGTGCCTGTTCATTCATTTTAGCTACAAGTATTGTGAATTTCTTTTGTCGTTTATTCTTATTTTATAAAAAGTCACCTTTAATATCAATACTCATAAATTTGAGAAAAGTGTTAAATCATGGGTCAAGGCGCGAAATATGATACAAGAAATAATGCTTACATCTAGGATTTTGAAACCTGTAAATCTAATTATTTAAGTATTTATAAAAAAGTAAGACCCATAAAAAAAATCAAGTTAACGTTTGAAAAGGTCCGTTTTAATTAGGAGTAAGGAAGGGAACATAAAAAATTTGTTCCAATTTTTTTAATTTTTTTTTTTTTTTTTTTTTTTTTGGTTTGAAAATATGTTGCAATAAAAAATGAAAATTTCAGCTCTTAAATTTCTTTTTGTAAGAACGCGAAATTGCTTGATTGCTAAAAGAGAATGTTATGGAAAGACCAATAATTGATTTAAAGAATTCCGTAACCTTAGATTTGATCTTTTTTTGAATTAACAATAAATTACTGCAACTTTGAAAAAAAAATTGTAGCCGTTTATACACTGTATGTCAGTCAATATATTATTATCTTTTTTTAAAAAAAAATGCATTACCTTTATTTTAGTGAAGCGCTTTTTTTAGCAGGTTTCACGTCCACCATACAGTAAGCCAAATATATACAACTGTAATATCTTGTGTTTCACGGACTAGATGTTATACCCAATTCTCGACCAGTATAAATGTTTGCAGCAGACAACAGAAAAAACAAACAACCAAACATTGCTGTGGTCATGTAAATGTGAATAACAATACTACTGATATAAACCCTGGGTGAATTGGGTACATGTATAATATAATAATATAGAGGGGAGATGGTGTCATTATAACGAATACAGTGTTTACGCCTGATTAGATGACCCTGCGCGGAGGAGGAAAAATATGTTATTGTAGTGAGGAAGACTGGGTTACATTGCTGCTTGATGATGGCAGTTATAACCCTTGGAGCGAAGTGACCGGTGCTACTGAGTTCTTATAAACAATAGATCTGTACTGGTCTAACCTCGTCTGTCTACATGTAAGACAAGTGGCCGGATATGGTGGGGCTATTATGAATAAGCACTAATAAAATTTTGCGATTGGTCAATTCATTAAATAAAACTTACATGCGCGGATCTTGAGTGGAGGGGGGGGGGTCTGAAACTTCTGGAATTATATGTTATAAAGCAAATTAAAAAAATGGCTTTGGAACCCCCCCTCCCCGAAAACATGGACCCCACCATCACCCCCACGAAATAGTTCTTTTTAACGTTTGGGAATGGACTTTACCCTTTTTTTCTTGTGTCAAGAAATATTTATTTGACTGGGGCGGATCCCCCCCCCCTCGGAAAAATTCCTGGATCCGCGCCTGGGGCGGGACCAAAATATAATGGTAATCGGAGCTAATCAGTGTAACCCTACCTAAAACAAAGATAGATATCTTCCAAATGATGTTTTTCATTCTTGGTAAAAGTGGTATTACATGAGGTACACAATGACATATTAATGATTAAATGGAAAAATTAGTGTATAATTCTGATATTTATATTTTTGTCCATTTACCGGGTCCGTATAGCCTTAATATCCTTTTAATTGTACCTGAGTAAAGGTCAAAAGAAAATTTACAACATATTTTTCTATCTACTTCCACCGAGTAAATTCAAAATATTTTTTTCTTATACAGAAATCGTATTAGATATACTAGTATATATGAAGATTATTAATAAAAACACGTTTATTTTATCTAAATATCTATCGTGTCCAAAATTTACATTTGATTTGTTTTTCTCTCTCTTTGATGAACATGGATTTTGAAGGGATTAAAAGAGAAAATGGTATACCGTAAACCCCAGGATATAATTATGTACATGCTCCCTCAACCCTCTCCCTTCTGACTCAAGGAGTCTGTCCTATGATTTTAAATTTTGAATTCAAGGGAAAAAGGTAAATACGAATTTGCCATATGCATGTGATATTCGTGCCTTAAAAATATATAAAGTATAGTGACAGACAATTAATCAATGTGAAATCATATCATGTATTGTGTATTATAGTACGTAAAATATATGTAATAATGAATTTGCTTATGGAGAAAAAAATTAAAGGATCACGAGCTTAAACTTATCATTTTAGAGAAACAATTAATTAATCAGAAACAGGGACGTATTCCTATAAATAGATGTAAAAACTGCCATTGTTGGTTTCTAAGATGACATAAAACTTAGGCATTAAAATATGATATATAGATTTTATAAATTCTCTATGTTAAAACGATTAACATCACTTAAATCCTACCTCGTTCTCTCTCTCGTCCACAGCTGATCTATCAATAAATAACTTCCTGTCGATTTCCCGTTCATATCCGCTAACTGTCCATAAGTTATAATACAGACAGTAGTTTTCGGTCATCTCTGCCTTTCTTAAAACTAACCTTACAATACATTTACCAATTGCAATGGTGGATTTATAATTTAATAAAATTTTGAAGCCAGCGAAAGAAAAACTAAGCCAATTATAAAAAAAAAAAATACTATATGTACGAGGGCTGTTCGAAAATTATTGAGACAATTACTTTTACTCCATAAAGGACAGAGATAAATTCATGAAAATTCGTCAACATTTTTTAAAGAACAAATAAAACAATTGTGCAAAATTTCTAATTTATACGATAATTAAATAAGTTCCGGTGAAATTATAAACAAGCATATATCAGATTGCTATACCGCGCATAAAGTTTTTAGTGATCTCCGTATTTCTTATCGAATTTCTAACAAACTTGCACAAAATGAAGTCAAAATTAAATTGAAAAATTATATACATAATTTGGATTATTTTCGCTCTTACTATGGGTCCACTGGGAGTTTTAACGTTGATGTTACATATTTTCAATATCTGATTTCGTGACTGCGCCGGGTACCCCTACTATTGACATATTAATATACCATTGAAAAGATGAAATAAAATATTTTCAAAATATTTCTTCTTTTTATTACTTCTTAGTGATTGTCAAACGTATATGCAAATTTTCACCGAAAAACGTTCATTAGAAAGAAGAATATAAACAATGTCTCAATAATTTCCGAACAGCCCTCGTATTATGATAAAAATGAGTTAATAGTTTCTGCCAGGTTTTGTTAACATAGTAAAGATGTCTTAATTAGTAAAAAAAAAAAATGCAGATTTTTATAAATGAATAGAAAGAAGTCCAATAATAGTATTTAAATAAAATTCCTGTTGAACTGAGTGGAATTTTAGCAAGTTCAGTTATTCATATTTAAAGAATGGGTAGCCAAGCGAGGGGATACTTGTAACAACAAAGATACCGAGGATACAAAAGCATCTACAAAAATCTGAATATTTCTTACAAAGGGGATTCGGGACCAGGCCCCGGGTCCATATATCAAACTAAAATGAGCTCAATTTTGATCTCAGACTCACTTTTTCAAAGGGAATCGTGGAAAAGTAAGACTGACATCAAAAGTGAGCTCAACTAAGTTTTATGGCCCCGGAGCCAGAAAACCTACTCAAATCAACCTTCCTTCTTAAGCTTAAACGTATAAGGTATCGAAGGAAATTTTTGAAAGCGGAACGTTATCTGTTAACTCTAAAGACATTTGGGTGGCAAAAAAGGAAGCGAAATGAAATGAAATTACTTGAAAGCTTCGACTATAAAAATTGTATTTAAAAGAATTTAGAAAAAGGAGTCTTAGAAAAAGTGTCTTTATATGAGAATTTTTGCGTATTAAAGAAGCAATTCTGTACCTATGAACACTTCGTTATCGGGTGAAATTAATAATATTTAATGTTAGGAAGCCAGAGAAAAATCTGAAAGATTGTTGGGGAAAGGTGGAGGAAAAGATCCGATCCAGTAAATAATGCGGAATAAGCAAGACGGAGATAGGAGGTTCGTGACTCTATACATATTGTAAAAGCAAACGTTAATTAATACTACTATAGCAATGTTATTGAGTTAAAATCCTGATTGAAGTTAGCCACAGGCGGATCAATATGACGTCATAGATCATGTTCTCCGGTCAAGTGAGCTATTTATAAGGTTGAATGTTTCATGTCATATTATGGTTTAATTGTAATTCTAAAAAAAGAGAAAATTAAAAAAAAATGGATAGTACCTGTATGATACAGTTTTGCGGGAATGGTACCCTGTAGCATATGAATGATATAGGAATGGTCGCCTGTACTATGAAATATGAAGATAACGAACAGTATTCAATCTCAAAAGTCCAATGAAACGATACAAATTTGGAGCAGAGCAAACACGGACCTCAAAATTTAGAGGTGGGATCAGGTGCCATGGAGGAGTTAGCATCCCCTGTCGACAGGTCACGTATGAATGATATAGGAATGGTACCGCGCTGTAGCATATGAATGATATAGGAATGGTATCGCGCTGTAGCATATCTCTTCAGACCAGCTAGGTACAGATCGACAGTTACCACTGAGGCACGAGTTCGTGGTAGTAGCGTACAACAAAATACCAGAAATAGCCTTCTTAAATATACTGGAGGTATGACACGTGCTAATTTTATCCTAAACCAACTGAAGGTTAAATTTCTGTTGCAGAGTTCCTTTCCGACCTTTAGAGTGTAATGTATATGTGTCCTTATTATATTGGCTGAGAAAACTTGCTATCAGTTTGATTAAAAAAATACATCTATGTCAGTTAGAATTTCATATATGGTTCAAAACAGAGACAACATTTACCAGGATATTTCGTTCAGAAAAACCCCGGTAATATAACTGGTGCGGATCAGAAATTTATATTCAGGATTAAGTTTCCCCCTGGATTTTGTATTTTTTAATCCAAAATCACTTTCTAAATTATAACTTGCTTGTTCATTTTTTATTTATTTTTCCTGTAATTGCTTATTTTTATTTTTTAAAAATATTTTTGTTCACCGTTTCGTTTGGTCTTGTTTTTAACATTTTCTTCTTTTGTTTTATTTTTTCCCTACAGGGTTGGACAAATACTAGTTGTCGAGGTAGATTTAGTCTTTTCCAAGTTGATAAACATCTGTAATCTTCTGCATTTAAACAGCAAACTTCTCCGTCTTATGTGTAAATGATCTTAATCATTCGACAATCTGTAAAGAATTGTATGGTTAAATAAGATATCTTTGTTCAAAACAGTTGCAGACTTAAGAATTCATTGAGTCCTCAGTACGTACATGTAAATAAGGGGAAGAGAGAAATTTTAAATCAATCATAGCATCAAAAATAGCCTTCTCTTAATAAAGACATTCCGTCTGTATATGGTTGTCTGTATTTATATTGTAATACCCTGAGAGTGTTCGCATTTGTTATCTTGTGTTTGATAGGAAAACTCGGTTCATCTCTCCTGGGTTGAGCTGGAAGAGGTCTACAATATGAGGAAGGAGACTAGGACCACGATACAAAGGACAATGCTAATTTAGCTCACTTGGTCTTATTTCTTGTTTGTTTCATCGCTCCTTTTTCCCATTCAAATCGGTCAAATGGAACTATATCAATATACACGTATCATAATTCAATTAGACACCCTAAATACATAACATGCTAAAACATCATAGAGTCTTACTGCTGAAATTAATTCTTCAAAATCGAAGCTGACATATTTTTTGCTGCATGGTTTTATAAGTGCAACAGAAGCAAATAATGGTCACTATAATTTCTTTCTCTTTTTATTTAAAAATCGTCACTTTCTCACAATTCTGTATTATGTATTTAAGAATGTGTGAGTAGATTTCTTGGAAAAAATGAAAACGGCAGTCACAAAGGTAACTGGGCTTATGTTCAAATCGATAATTTGAATATTTTGGGGGCTCAGCCTAATTCACACTAATGAATGCAATAGTTCTTAAACACGTCAAAATGATTTATTATGCAAGCAAGAAACTTTATCCACTAGAATCTCCATCTTCTGTATGCTGATTCTGGGCCGCCAGAAAACTATGCGTAACTTCAAACTTCCATATGCTGTACTAGGGCCTCTATATTAGGCATTTCCTCTCTAAGTTTTGTCCACTGAGCTTTACTAAGGGCAACACCTTTGGTTGACCTCTGGAATGTTCGATCTTCCGAGTATTCCCGAATGTCTACAATCACATCCTCCTGGTGCTGATAAACACTCACTCGCCGCTTCCAAGACAACGAAAATAAAATCTGTCCTAAAAAATTTTTTAAAAAAATACGCTCGTAAATGCCTGGTGAACTAAAAAACAAGTACATATATAAATAAGGTAAAAAATGTTTTGGAAAAAAAAAATATTTGTCATATCAAAGACGTCATCTCCTGCTGATTGTAACTGACATCAGAGACATCACTACCCTTTCATGGAAATCTGATCAATTTAGATATCCCACTTCTACTTTACTGGGCCTCTGATCAAGAGAGGTTTCACTTCATCAAAGGACAGTATATTTCCTTCATCAAAAAGCGCCCAAACGACAAAAATACACCTGATCAATGAGAAATTTATCATCCAACACAATTAGCTGTACAAAATTAACTTCTAAAACCTTACTTTCGAGTCATAACTCCTGACTCAACCCATATCCTCTAGTCATACCCGGTAATTACTCCTGGTTCAAACCACTCCCCTGGTCATAACTCCAGACTCAAACCACACCCCCTGATCATACTTCTGACTCAAACCACGCCCCCTGATCATACTTCTGACTCAAACCACGCCCCCTGATCATAACTCCTGACTCAAACCATACCCATTGATCATAACTCCTGACTCAAACCATACTGCCATTGATCATAACTCCTGACTCAAACCACGCCCCCTGATCATAACTCCTGACTCAAACCACACCCCCTGATCATAACTCCTGACTCAAACCACACCCCCTGATCATAACTCCTGACTCAAACCACGCCCCCTGATCATAACTCCGAACTAAAAACACACCCCTGATAATAACTCCGGACTCAAACCACACCCCTGGTCAAAACCCTGACTTTTAACCTTTGGTTATCGTCTTCTTTTCACGGCCTTAGTTTACAAACCAAACTTCTGAAGCATCGTTCTTACACTATCGAGCACGGCAGATTATGTATCAAATTCTGTATCATCTCACTGTAACAAACATTTATGTATGCCTTACCAGGGCCTTCTTCTTCCTCTTCTTCTGAATTATCTCCCCTACTTTTCTGATCTTTTCCCTTGCTTTTTGTATCTTTAGATTTCGGATCTCTAGCCGCCATTATTTTAGTAGCCGCCTCAATCCCATTTTGAATCGAACACAATTCTCGCCACTGATGCTTGTTCAGAGAAATTCCTCGCTTTGAGGGCTTTGCAACGTCGGAGCCCTTTAGTAGGAAGAATTCTCTTATGCTGACGAAGACATTAGTTTGATGTTTATACACAGTGGCACATACAAGGTCCGTCAAATCAAACACATTTTCATTTACTTCGTAATCTCCACTCTCCACACTCCCAACATCCTTTGCTGCAATGATATTACTCTCTGATGTCCTACTAGAGCGCCTGCGCGTGGAAGCTGGCGGGCTGCTGGCCTCGTTTTGGAAATTAAATTTGTCAGCTTTTGATAATCCGTTTATTCCAAACACAATTTCGTTGAGAGTGTCTGGATCCACCCCCCGAAGGTGATTTTTGTACACACACAGCGTCCAGAAACACTTATAGTGAAACCAACTCGTTAGACATCTCACACGTTTGTCGGGTCCTTGATCCGCCACGTATCCAAGGACAAGCGAACCCGATCCTATCTTAGATTTACATCCTTTACATTTCGAGTCTGAATCGTTCATGTATTTTATGATGAATGGTTTGACTATGAAAGGCATTTCTTCTTCACAAATTTTCAGCCCCTGTCAAGGTCCGGCATGTCGACATGCCAAAATAAACTCTAGTGCCAAAATGTTTTGTCTGTTGGGTTTTAAATCACCTCAAATAAACGCTTCGGGGAGGGAGATTTACACCAAATCGCCTTTACTACCACTTCGAGTATATCAATAACATTTAAAACATGCTATTTACATTAGACAAAGAGTTAAGATTTTACAATAATCAATACCAAGATCTTAAAATCAGATCATTGCACAAAATTCTTCATCCTATGTCAGTCTGTTGCTGACAATTTAGAAATAGGCCCAAAGTATTTTATTTAAGGTTCCAACTCTTTCCAGATTAAGTATTCCTCCTGTTATTCTATACTCTTTGTAAAGCTCTTTGTAAAGAGTCAACACGACAAAAGAATGAAAAATATAATAAAGTTTCAAAAGTATCATTTTCTAGCGAAAATCAATGCATGTATTGCCCAACGATAAAACTTGTGTAGAGCCCCCCTCCCCCTCCCCCCCCCCCCCACCTTCCACAACCTTACTTAATTGTATTGCTCGTGCATTATATTTTATTTTTGTGGATGGGGTATTCGATCTTTAAATTATTTCCCCATCAAAAGTTATTAATACACCGAAATGGAGTTCCAGGATCTGTCAATGAGTTTTAATTTTGAACGATGCAAAATATATTTTTTTAAACCGTGTATGGAGTGGATTAATATATCTACTGTATATTTGTTGATGAAGCCCCCTACTCCTGCACTGAACGAGTTAGAGGTCATCTGAAATCCATAAATTTGAAATGTGTGATGTTGTTTTGCTTTAAACTATTTTAGAATCAAACTCAGTTACATGCACAAGTATGCTGTTACATAGGCGTCGGAACCGGGGGGTGGGGGTGGGGGTGGGGGGGGGTGGGGGCTTAGCCCCCCTTTTTTTTTGCAAAGATAGACATAATATAGGCATTGAAAATTGGGAGCTTACCATTTTTCGTTGGTTTAGCCCCCCCCCTTCAATTAGCCACCCCACTTTCAATTTGCTTCCGACGCCTATGTGTTAAATTGGGATCGAAGTCCCTCAGATAATTTTTATGAATTTCATATATTCGGTCGAATAGCGTCCGAGACTTAATACCTGAAGTGTTTGTTCGGTATTATTTTTCTGCGACATAATTAAAAAAGTTTTCAAATAAAAAAAAAAAATCCCACTCCAGAAAGCCTATATATTTACTTGCTTAAGTTTACTCAAATCACAACTGCTAATTCGAGACAAAACGATCGGACTTACACAGATCTATACATCTTTTGTATACTTGCCTGGGTTTTGTTTTATTATTTTTTAGTTTTTTTTATTACAAAGGGCTTGTTAAATATTTTCTTTGTTTCGTTGATTTTCACTTAAATAATATGTAAATTATGTGTCATAGACCCCCCCCCCCCCTTCCAAAAAAAGGAAAGAAAAAGTCGAACAGCACTGGTGATGAGGTGCGAGAGAGTGGAGCACTTTTGGATCGGAGAATTAAGAAAAAAATCTAAAATTCTAAAGTTTTCATTTATAAAACAAATATCAATCCTGTATTAATTTTCTCCTTTTCTAGACAAGGATGGTACACAAATAATCCGGATATTTTAAATACCCTGTTGGTTTTACATTTTATCTTCGTAATGGCGGAAGTATAAAGAACTTTGCACTTGACTGACGTATAGTAATTTCATTGTTCTTTTGTTTCCTGAGCAATTGCTGCAGATATGCACATACGATCCATGTAATAAGGTATGAGACGAAGATAAAAATTAATTTTAGGTTTTAATGCATTAAACGGAAAGGTACAACAGTCAACCAGCAATGATAATGTAAAAGTTGCAGCAGTGTAAGGATTTTGAGGGGATTTCCCGATTTTCTCCATTTCGAGCTAAATATAAACACGTGTAATCGATTGATAATGTATTTATTTAAATTTTGAAAACAAACGACTTTCGTAGATTTTTGGTAGACATCATTTCGATGTACAAAAGTTGTTTGAGATTTTTTTTTTGGAAAAATGCCATTCATAATGTGAATGATTCACCCTTTACCAGTGTTTATCATCTAATTGATGCTAATTTTATGGCATCTGGAAACATGGGAAAGGGAATCAATAAATAGAATCAGTTCATTTTCTAATTAAGAGCAACCAATTGACACGAGGGTCAACAGATATATATAATAATTAATTATACATAAATGCAAATTAACTTATTTGAGTTGTATGGAGTATAGAGTTGTGTAGAGTCATAAAAATTACAAATTAAAAATCACAGGTACTTGTGGACAGGACATCCCCCCCCCATTCAACCCCGATGCTTGTTGGAAATTTTTTTCACAAATTATATTTATTACACTTATTCATCGTATACCATAGGAAATAATCGTGAAAAACCCAAAATAATTGTTCCACACAAAAATACCCCACTATACATTATAAGAGAGAAAGGTATGCCACTCGTGTCTGTTTACTTTGTACCCCCAGTGGTCTTTCTGGGTTTAAAAACATGTTTATATTGTATTTCAACATAAAATGTCGGTTCACATTGTCTCTACATAAATTTCTGTCTAAGTTCATGCTGTCGGATTGACTGCATCTCGTAAGAATCCCACAATTAATCCTTGAACAGCATTGCAGTCAGTGCATTGAAAAATCCTTAGGTAGACGCAACGGAAGTACACCAAGAATGTATCAGTTATTACGATAACGTCCGAGAGAGTTTTGGCCTGACGTAATAATCTTTCTTGGGTGTTATCATAATATGTAATATATTCTCTATGCACTTCTGTTGCGTTTACCTAAGGATTGTTTCTGTAAAACGAGTACCTGTGTTAAAAATGTGAAAATTACATTATTATTACAGGTGCTTTTCCAATGAGTTATCCAACAATTGAACCTGCCTAACTGACAAATTCCTCACTCCTTGAAGGTTTTCACCCCCTCAAAAGACACCAACCCAGGGTTTTTCCTGGCAGGACCCCCACCTGTCACTTTCTGGGCAAAAGCCGGCACCAATTCAATCGGGTGAGGAGAAAAATTTGGAGGTTGGGCAGGTTTATTTGCTGGTGGTCAGATAGGTCAGTTGATAAAGCACCTGACTAGTGATTCAGGGAAGAGGGTTTGAATCTGATCTGTTCTCTCACAGAGTTGTCAAAATTTTGAAATCACTGTCAGACATTTGGTCTGACAAAGTCAAATGTTCTGTTGGACCGAACAAAGTTTTGTTAGACCAGATACATGTACCTTATTTAGACGCTGAGAAAGGAAAATAAATAACTGCACCAAAATGCCTTTTATTATTTTTAACAGCCTTCAATCTCACAAGTTTCTTTTATTAGGATAGAGAGTCTTTAATCAGAGACATAAATAATAGGGATGTGCAATTTTATTGGTATACCGGTATATATCACGATTTTTTATTGCATGATACATATCGTGATAAGGAGACTTAAATACCGGTGTTTGGTACATAACTATAAATTCTGGAAATCATTCATTTATTTATTCAAACTATTGAATGACAATTACAGAAAGCATAAAAAATGTTGAAAATAGTTAAACAACAGTATCCAGACATGCTTTATATTAAATAAATGAAAATTTAAAAGGTAAAGTTATGTTTTTAAAGCATATTTTTAAGAAATATCACGGAAATTCATTTGAAATTGTAGTAAAAATTGTGTGTAAAAATATCACGATTCGTGATATTTTTGGAAAAAAATCGTGATATATCATGATGTGAAATTTTTTCTGATACCCATCCCTAATAAACATGATAAATAACATGTTTTATGTCTTTGCTGTAACAAATTTAATTGACCACTGTCACTACACGGCCATTTCTTCTGTTTTTGTGACCTTTACCTGTGATCATCTTTTTAAAATTTGCTTCATGCTCGATTTTTTTCAAACGGTCACTTGGACTGACATTTTCTTGAAAGTTATCAATCCAGACAAATTTTTACCGGCCTTGCCGACAGGACCAACAGTTTTCAACATGTCTGTTCTCTTGCATTTTTCTCCTCACCTCTTCTCCTGTAATGAAAATTTCTCCTGTCCTAACAGTAAACTGTTATGTCTTACAGACATAAACAAACTGTTTCTAGGGTAGCTCCTGGAGTATACATTTATTATTAAACAAACTTAATATACTTTACAATAAATGTGAAATTTTTACCAAAAATTTATCCTGTAAAAATAATAAATTCTTATTTTAAAATTCTTTTAATATAATAAAACAAAGTTTTATAAAATGTTAAGTTTATATTAACCTGTATGTCTTTTTTAGGAATCTAAATATGATCCTGTCTATTTGCGAAGAGAACCATTTGTATCACGATGACCATTCCATGGCTTGACCAATCGTCTCCAAGCTTTCAAAACTCAGAACCAGTGTGCTGTGAACCAGTAAAGGAAGAGGAGATAACTCCGTCAACTACAGAGAGGAGTCAACCCGAATTCTCCAACATCCACCCTGAGAGAAATTCAGGTCCACCTAAGAATTTGAAAGAATTAGAAGGAGAGATAACCTCTTCCTATAAAAAATTGACTCCATTTCCTTGCTTTAAAACTAGTGAAAGAAGTCAGGTGAATTCTGATGGAATCTTTGCTAAACATTTAAAGAGGAGATATTTAGATGTTGATGGCCATTTTCAAAGAAGTGGAAAACCCTATAAAATTCTGACTTGCCCTTCATTTGCATGTTTTGAGACATTTAAATTCAGAAACTTGCTTTCAGTAAGTCAGAAGCAATTTTTATTTATCACAGAAAAATCGTCCTGGAGAAAATCTGTTTCACATTTAAGGTTCTCCAGACTTGCCTTGATTGCTTCCCTTGTATTGTTGTGCCTGCTGGTCATAGATGCAGAAAACTCGCATCATAAACAAAACAACCGTTCCAAGGGAATTGTTCCTATAAAGGTTTTCTCAGATACGTACTGTCTACCGTGGATAACTGGGTCACTCATCAGAAAAAGGCTACAACAGAAGGAGGTTTGGATTGATCCAAAGCGAGGCTCACGAACTGTAGGAAAACATAGGTGTCACTGTACAAAGAACTCATTTTTCATGAGCAATCACAATACAAGTGACAGTTATAATTTGTTATACCCTGTACTGCAGGATTGCAACAATCAACTTTAAGAACTGTTATCTTTAAATGATATGTAAATAGTTTTGCTTTGAATGTGCACTGTATTTTTATTTGAAGCCAAAAAATGACTTGTGAATTACTAGCATGGAAGAAGCACTGATTCGTAATTTAGAAAGCTTAAGCATTTCTGACTCTATCCTATTAAAACAGTGTAATAGTGAACTGATTCGTCTTTACACATTTAGAAACTGGAATGCCAAGGTGTTTGTAATTCGACTTGCTGAGACTGGATTTTTTTACTTGGGAGAAGGTGACAAAGTGCAGTGTTATTTCTGTCACGTAGAAAAAGAAAACTGGGCCCCAGGGGATAAGCCTAGTCTGGTTCACCAAAAGCTGAATGCTAACTGCCCACTGCTGTCAAATTCTGTGCAAACCAACAATATTCCTATTTATAGCAATTTAGTGGAAGAACCACTTCCTGCATATTTCAGTAAGATAATTCACCTGCTCAGTGAGAGACACGTGGAGCGAGATAGAGATCTCATCCCAGAATCGCCAGGAGATCGTCCAGTCATGAGCCACATCTCGGACTCGTCGCCTGGATCCATGAATTTACCGAGAAGTAGATCCAGAGATTCCTCTATTGGTTCAACCGGATCTCAGGAAAACAGGGGAGGAAGAGGGAATAGCCAGGAAGGAGGGTCGCTGGAACAGCCTCCCCAGAGATTCAGCTTGGGATTGTCAGGTTTTTTAAATTTTTGATACTTAATCAATGACCCTGACCCCTATGTTAAAGATCTTGAAACAATTTATTTTAATCTTTAGTCTGTCCTTATAATATATAATTGTATTTCATTTTCAAAAATAAATGGTAACAATTATATGCACTGTAGTAATTTTGTTGCCATGATACCAGTAAATGTTGATTATTTTACATAATGGTCAATATTTTACCATGGTGACAGTAAATTTTGTGGATTATTATACTCTGGTCATTAACAGGTCCCCAGGCTGCTACACCCAGTCTCCCCCAAACCCTGAGTGGTGGAATCCCCTCCTCCCAGAATGAGGCTACTCCCTCACAGCCTCTGCCACTAGAGGGTGACCCTAGCTTCCTGCGCTATGAGAGAAATCGCCTGGAAACATTTAGGAATTTCCCAGCATCAGCCCATGTTCTTCCTCGAGATTTAGCCAGCTCAGGATTTATATACACAGGTAAGGGGTAGGGTTATACCATGTTCTCCCTGGAGATTTAGCCAGCTTAGGATTTATATACACAGGTAAGGGGGTAGTGTTATGCTGAGATTAGTGTAAAGTTAAGGACAGGTATTTACGATGTATCATATAATTATAGATATATATGTATTAGGTCAAGGTCATTACAATTGAATTATAATAAGATGTTTGCAAATTCTGCTCCTATACTCACCATATATAGCAAGCATATGATCAGTAACATAACTTTTAAAATTAACTTCAATTGAAGCTATTCAAAATGTTTGAAGTTTGATTTTTTGCATCAGGGAAATTTATTTGGTGGGAAAAAATATTTTCAATATATAAGTATGCCAGATAATGTCCTCCTCCAGAACCTTGGTGTAATAAATTCCTCAAAGCTACAATCATCAACAATGAATTCATCAGTACAATTTTATATTCAGAATAACTTGTGTCAAAAAGGGAAATAACTCTTACTGAATGAAGTAATGACTTGACAGTCAGTTTTTTAAAATGACTTTTTATGACTTTAAAATAATAAATAAATATGATCCACAATAGATTGAAAAGTTTTATAAAAACATTTAGAAAACAATGTATGAAACTGGACTTCTGGAGAAAAAAAAACCCATCGTCCTTAACTTTTTATGATGACAAAGTGTCTTTAATCATGTTAATAATAATATTTTTTTTTCTTACCATCACAACTAAGACTGGGATATGGGATATAACATAATTCCTAGTACATTATACATATACATTAAAAGTACCAGTACACCATACATGTATATAAATTTAAGTAAATTCTGGATGTGTGTAATTATAGGTACTGGAGACAGGGTCCAGTGTGTTTTTTGTCGTGGTATTCTCCGTGACTGGGATGTCGGAGAAAAACCTCACATCGAACACAAAAACAAATTTCCCCGCTGTCCATTTATCCTGGGTGTCGACGTCGGAAATGTAAGGATGACGCCAGCCCAGCCTGCTCAGAGGGTCAACATTGCGGGGAATCTGAACAATTCTCCCCTGGGTAACATGGAGGCCCTGGGGATAAACACTGACCGCCCTCGGCATGGTAACTATGCAGTGGAAAGCACACGATTGACTTCATTCAATAACTGGCCGCAGTACAAGCACCAGACCCCTCCACAACTGGCAGCTGCCGGATTCTTTTATGCAGGTATAAAACATTGGTGTAGGTCTTCTGTGTCATTCTTGTTGGAACTTGCCTTGTTTATGCTACATTCCCACCAAATTGTATACATAGAAAATGTACCTCTATGTATATTTTAACACATTGTAATATGAAGTGTATTGTGTAGGCCTATATATTTGTCACAAAATGCTGTGGTTTTATAAGTTTTTGTTGAACACCAAATGAATTTTAATTTGTTGTTTTTTCTGGTTTAGCCAGACCAAGAAGTTAGGGGATAAATGAACTCTTAATTTTAGTTATGATAGAATATGAAGCTATTTAAAAGTTTTTATATCAATGAAATGTTTTTTATCAAAGCCACGAAATTTGATCCCCATGGAAATTTACTTGTGAAAACACAGAATCTAGTTGTACTGAATTGATGTTCCATAGCAACTAATGACAGCTCTTGTTCTATCCACAGGGTTTGGAGATAATGTGAAATGTTTTTATTGCGATGGCGGACTGCGGAATTGGGAGCCGGGCGATGAACCGTGGGTGGAGCATGCTCGCTGGTTCCCACGTTGTTCATTCGTTCGCACTGTAAAGGGAGACCAGTTTATACGCAATGTACAGGAAAGATTTAATCGACCCCTGTCTACTTCTGGTAATTTAGCTCTAGGCTGAGAAACATTCTGGATCTTGTTGATTCAATCATGAAAATTTACAAAAGATTTTTAGTATGTATGACAAATACTGTTGAATCATTATTGTTCATGTTGAACCAATGTTTGTAGATTTCAATTCATGGGTCTTCCTTACCCACAAGTTTATATCCCTATGGGTTTTATTTTTACCAACATATAAGTTTATTGAATTTACAAGTTACTCATGGAATTCCGTCTTCATATGATCCAATGAAAGTTTTGATTGCTCAGGAACATTGAACATATGAATTAAAATGATTTCACAGTATACATTTGTATGTATTTGTATAATCTTACATTTCAAATTTTTTTTACATGCAAGAAATTTGATAGTTGGGGCAGGGGTTCAGAGAAACTGTATTACACATGATTATGTATATTTGTGCATCTCTTTCATGTCTTGAATAGGGAGTACAGTTTGTTTACACATCATCTATACATTTTACAGGTCATCAAGTAGAGGCGAGAGAAATCCGAGCTCGTATGGAACTGCCAATGGTTCGAGCTGTTTTAGAAACGGGAGTAGATCGCAACAGTGTGATGCAGGTCATAGAAAGAAGACTGAGGGAAACAGGTAGGGGGTTAATTGGAACAGCGTGATGCTGGTCATAGAAAGAAGACTGAGGGAAACAGGTAGGGGGTAGATCAGAACAGCGTGATGCTGGTCATAGAATGAAGACTAAGGGAAACGGGTAGGGGGTAGATCAGAACAGCATGATGCTGGTCATAAAAAGAAGACAGAGGGAAACAAGTAGGGGGTAGATTGGAACAGCATGATGGTGGTCATAGAAAGAAGACTGAGGGAAACAAGTAGGGGTAGATTGGAACAGCATGATGCTGGTCATAGAAAGAAGACTGAGGGAAACAGGTAGGGGGTAGATTTGAAAAGCATGATGCTGGTCATAAAAAGAAGACTGAGGGAAACAAGTAGGGGGTAGATTGGAACAGCATGATGCTGGTCATAGAAAGAAGACTGAGAGAAACAAGTAGGGGGTAGATTTGAACAGCGAGATGCTGGTCATAGAAAGAAGACTGAGTAAAACCAAGTTGGGGGTAGATCAGATTACTAGTCGGTAATTAAATGCTCAACAACCAAACTACGACCTCACAATAAATACCTTAAGGCTATTTTCAGCCAGGTGGACATGATAATCTACGGAAGCCGGTTGGTGCCAGGTAGAAAAAATATTTTATCTGGCGGCCGCCAGATAACTTTCTGGCGGCCGCCAAATAATTATCTGGCGGCCGCCAGAAACTTATCTGGCGGCCGCCAAATAATTTTCTGGCGGCCGCCAGATAAAAAGATCTGGCGGCCGCCAGAAAACTTATCTGGCGGCCACCAGAAAGTTATTTGGCGGCCGCCAGAAATTATCTGGCGGCCGCCAAATAATTATCTGGCGGCCACCAGAAATTATGTGGCGGCCGCCAGATAAGTTATCTGGCGGCCGCCAGAAAAGTTATCTGGCGGCCGCCAGAAAGTTATCTGGCGGCCGCCAGATAATTATTTGGCGGCCGCCAGATAATTTCTGGCGGCGGCCAGATAGGTTTCTGGCGGCCGCCAGATAACTTATCTGGCGGCCGCCAGATCTTTTTATCTGGCGGCCGCCAGAAAATTATATGGGGGCCGCCAGATAAGTTTCTGGCGGCCGCCAGATAGGTTTCTGGCGGCCGCCAGTTATTTATCTGGCGGCCGCCAGAAACTTATCTGGCGGCCGCCAGATAAGATATTTTTCTACCTGGCACCTACCGGCTTCCGTAATAATCTAAAACAATGTTTAAAAATTATTTAGAGTAAGAAATTAAAATTTTACTTAAACTCCTAGACAATAAGTACAACTTTTTAATTTTGATATTTTAGGGTTTTATGTGTAGCGCTAATTCATGACTACGCCAACCACTCCATACCCGGTGATTGCGCTAAATTTTGAATATGTTATTTTATGTACACATACAGTATATCCATACGTATCAATTTTTAAAAATGTATTGTAGCGAAAAAATAAGTTCCAATACATATCGGATAGGCAGATTTTCTTATAATTCTTTGAAAAAGTTGGAATTTTCAATCACCAAAGGTGATATTTTTACTGTTTAGAATTAAAATACATCAAATGAATAATGATATAATCATTAAGGAGATTAGTACATCTTAGATAAATATTACAAAATACATAGACAACTTTATTTTAACCTGTTTTTACACTAACAGTCATTAAAAGTTCGAATTTGAAGTGTAATTTGTTATGACAGTGAGATAAGAACTTTGAAATGGGTTATAAAACAATTAGTTTTTAGCTCACCTCAATGAAGTTGGGGGGAGCTTATTTGATACCTTCGGTGTCCGTGTTGGCGTCGGTGTCTCAGGTTAAAGTTTTTAAAGCAGTTTTCTTTTTAAGTACTTCTGTGCCCTACATTAATCAGAGTTGCATGGAAGATGCTTCTAGTGTGTTTCATTGTATCAGTCAAGGTTTCAGATGCTACAATTTCAGCTAAGGAATATCCAGGTTATTGTTTTTAGAGCAGTTTAAGGTTTTTGGAGCAGGTTAAATTTTTGGAGCAGGACTCATTTCCAAGTAACTATAAGCCTATGTTGACCAAACTTACAACTTGAAGGATGATACATCTAAGGATGCACACTACCAGGCTTGCCTCAGATGCTGGATCTGACCTAAATTTTCCGGTTGATTTGACCAGGTTAAAGTTTTTGGAGCAGGTTCATTCTAAAGTAACTGTAAGCCCTGTTTTGACAAAACTTGCAGGAATGATGATGATTCACCTAAGGATGCACACTACCAGGCTGGCTTCGAATGCTGGATCTGACCTACATTTTTCGGACCAGCGACCAGGTTAAAGATTTTGGAGCAGCTTCATTCTAAAGTAACTATGCAGTCTATGTTGACCAAACTTGCATAGATGATACACCTAAGGATGCACACTTCTGGACTTGCTTCGGATGCTGAATCCAACCTACATTTTTCTTAATGAGGGACTAGGTTAAGTTTTTGGAGCAAGTTCCTTCTGAAGTAACCATTTGCCATACCTTGACCAAACTTGCATGGATGATACATCTAGGGATGCACACTACTTGACTTGCTTTGGATTCTGGATTTGACCTACATTTTCCAGATGAGTGACCAGGCCCATTACTAAGAATCCATAAGGCCTATCTGAACCAAACTTGCATGGATAATGCATCAAGAGATGAACTCTTTTAAACTTGCTTAAGATGCTGAATTTGAATGACATTTTCTGGATGAGTTACTAGTTCTAAGTTTTTCGATGAATCCATTCCAAAGTAACTGCAAGCCCTATCAGATCAAAATTGCATACATGTTGCATCTTGGGATGTACACTACTAGATTATTAGTTTAATGTGGAACTTTGCCTTACTTAAAAGCAAAATTCATTGAGGTGAGCTCTGTAATCTTTGATTACCTATGTTTATAAAATTCATGCATTAAATGATTTAAAAGACTTTTTTGATAGACATGTTAAAGAATCCAATATATTGGATATCGCATTATAAAATATCGTATCGTATCTTATTGGATATCGCATTATAAAATATCGTATCATATCGTATTGAGTTTTTCTGCTCAATACACAGCCCTAATTTCTGATCCTGTCCCTGAGGTGATGATTACCCCATAGCTATAATGCAATTTATGATGACCTATTTTCCTAATGTATTTGTTTGCACTTTTCATCCTCTCCTTCAGGTAATGATTACCCCTCAGCTGAGGATCTACTGAATGCTGTCCTCACTCTGTACTGTTTATCATAGCTGTGATTATATTGACCCGTTTTTATGATATGAGTATTGTATGTATATAGGTGATGGTTACCCCTCAGCTAAGGCTCTACTCAATGGTGTCCTCACTCTGTACTGTTTATCATAGCTGTAATTATATTGACCCGTTTTTATGATATGAGTATTGTATGTATATAGGTGATGGTTACCCCTCAGCTAAGGCTCTACTCAATGGTGTCCTCACTCTGTATTGTTTGTCATGGCTGTGATTATATTGACCCGTTTTTATGATATGAGTATTGTATGTATATAGGTGATGGTTACCCCTCAGCTAAGGCTCTACTCAATGGTGTCCTCACTCTGTACTGTTTATCATGGCTGTGATTATATTGACCTGTTTTTATGATTTGAGTATTGTATGTATATAGGTGATGGTTACCCCTCAGCTAAGGCTCTACTGAATGGTGTCCTCACTCTGTACTGTTTATCATAGCTGTAATTATATTCACCCGTTTTTATGATATGAGTATTGTATGTATATAGGTGATGGTTACCCCTCAGCTAAGGCTCTACTCAATGGTGTCCTCACTCTGTACTGTTTATCATAGCTGTAATTATATTGACCCGTTTTTATGATATGAGTATTGTATGTATATAGGTGATGGTTACCCCTCAGCTAAGGCTCTACTCAATGGTGTCCTCACTCTGTACTGTTTATCATAGCTGTAATTATATTGACCCGTTTTTATGATATGAGTATTGTATGTATATAGGTGATGGTTACCCCTCAGCTAAGGCTCTACTCAATGGTGTCCTCACTCTGTACTGTTTATCATAGCTGTAATTATATTGACCCGTTTTTATGATATGAGTATTGTATGTATATAGGTGATGGTTACCCCTCAGCTAAGGCTCTACTCAATGGTGTCCTCACTCTGTACTGTTTATCATGGCTGTGATTATATTGACCCGTTTTTATGATTTGAGTATTGTATGTATATAGGTGATGGTTACCCCTCAGCTAAGGCTCTTCTGAATGGTGTCCTCACTCTGTATTGTTTGTCATGGCTGTAATTATATTCACCCGTTTTTATGATTTGAGTATTGTATGTATATATATGATGGTTACCCCTCAGCTAAGGCTCTTCTGAATGGTGTCCTCACTCTGTATTGTTTGTCATGGCTGTGATTATATTGACCTGTTTTTATGATTTGAGTATTGTATGTATATAGGTGATGGTTACCCCTCAGCTAAGGCTCTACTGAATTGTGTCCTCACTCTGTATTGTTTATCATTGACCCATTTTTATGATTTGAGTATTGTGTGTATATCTGATCCTCTCCTTCAGGTGATGATTACCCCTCAGCCGAGGCCCTCCTGAATGCCGTCCTCACTCTGGAGGAGGAGCCTGAGGTCCTCAATGTTGCCTCACAGGAGCCTGTCCTCCCTGAGTACAGCCACACTCCACCCCGGGCACCAACACCTAGTAATGCTAGTCAGTCCTCAGCAAAATCAGGTAAAAAAACGACCTTTAAATTCAACCTGATTTTTATCCCTTTTGGTGCCTAAATGCTGAATACAGATTGTACCATTTTTGTCCCCATGAAAAACATAATTATGAATACAAAATAAAGCTATAGCCTTACAGACAGCCATGTATTAACATATTTGTCCCAAGCCAACATGAAAGCATCTTTGCTTAATACATGTAATAACTCTTCTTCATTCTCAACTTTTGTAGAGGAGCCATCATCATCCACTGGAGGTGGGTCTAAAGGTAACCTTTTTTATTTTATTTTAGAGCTCACAATAATGTGTGCCATAATTAAAATCTGTTACTGTGACCCCATCTTTCAATTTCTACAGTTATCATGTCAAGATAACATCTTTCACATAATGTTGGATTGTGACTTCTATTTTCTTTAAAAAAAAAACATTTTATTTTTGTTCTTTAAATTTCATTAATATACATGTACTTTAGATCTTATGGCCGCTATGGTGTCCAGATAATATCTTTCACACTGACCTGAGTTTATTTATATCTGTTTCTATATTTAGACCTTGTTGAGGAGAATCGCCTCCTTCGGGAGCAGAAGACCTGTAAGATCTGCCTGGATGCTGAGGTTGGGATGGTGTTCCTCCCATGTGGTCACCTCTGCTGCTGTGTGATGTGTGCCCCTGCTGTCAGACAGTGTCCCATATGTAGGGCTGAAATCAGGGGCACAGTCAGGACTTTTATTCCCTAATTCTTTATAATTGAGACCAGTGTCAGGATCAGAACTTTAATGCAATAGAAAAATTATGAAGACTTTTTAAAAATACGCAATAACTTATTTACAATTCATACCCTCAGCAATAAAAAATTAAAAGGATATTCTAATTACAATGAGTGCTGCATTTTATTTCTGGAATTTATCTAAGAACGGTTTTTAAAGATCTTTTTCCTACAAAGTTCGTTGATAAATAATAAATACCATTTGGACATGCTAATTTTGTATCATGTGATTGTATTTTTAGATTAAAATGTATTATTTAAGGTTTCATTGTACATGAGTAAAAAGAAGGACATCAGTGTCAGGACTAAGCTTTGAAATCTAGAATGATGAGAAGTTAAAAGAAAGGAACCTTGTGACCTTGTGTAGTCTGACCTTGTACATGTAATATGGTCATTGAGATAAGTCAAGTTCACAAGGTACAAGGGAATTAATGAAAGTTGTTGTGTATGACATATTGACAGGAGATGTTTACTCCCACCAGGCACCTGATCCAGGTTTTACGAAAAAAAAAACCTTTCGACTAAGACCAGAAGTTTTAGTTGAATGTAAAATGTTGAAAAACTATTGATTCTGTTTGAAATTTCTAGCAAAAAATATCGTGTTGAATTCATTTTAAGGATTAAATTCCCTTTCAAAACAATTTAAAACAGATAATTTAAATCTGGTCTTGATCATAAGATCTTTTTCTAAAACGGCCCCTGGATTTTATGCTCTGTTCTCAGATTTGATTTCTTAGTTGATTTTTTTCATATCTGTCACTGTTTGCTATATCTTTACTGTAGTATTCCGTAACTCTGTAGACTTGTACCTTTAGGTTTTAAATGTTACTCATGTACTTCCGTAATAAATAGTTTGTAACCGCATGGAGCTGTGTTATAAATCTCATTTATTCGAGTGAATACACAACATTTACCTCTTTCCTTATAATGTAGCAATAGATGTGATAAATATTAAAATTTACTATCATAGATGAGAACTGAATTACCAAATCAAAATTGCGTTTAATATATTTATGTTATTATTTTCCTATGGTTTAATATTAGCAGCAGTGAAGAAGAAACTTTAGAAGTACTATAAAACATTATATTCTAGATGTTGTGTTGATGAGATGTGGATAATTAAAAACTCCAAACAAAATTTGAAATTGCAAAATTTGCCCAAATCAATATCATCAAAATGTATGACTTTTCAATAATTTAACCATTCCACACGATAAATTAAAGTTGAGGCTTTTTGACATCATTGACATCTGTCGTAACATTGAAAATGGAACTCATTCACTTATCTTGTCATTGGTCATTTGCAAACTTTTGTTTAAAAAAATCTGATTGTACGCACAAATACTCTGAAGTTGAAATTCTTACTGGCAATATCTTAAGTTGTTTTTGGAGATCAAGTCTTCCAACAATTTGTCTGAATACCCATGGGTACCAATTGTGCTCCGTTATTAGCAGATATATTTTTGTATATATATGAAGCAGAATTCATTAAAAAACTTCGACATGAAAAGAAGTTTCATACTGCAGTCTTCAATTCAACATTTTGATATATCGACGATGTTTTTTCTATGAACAATATTCGTTTTCATTTTTATGTTGATTCGATGTATCCCTTTGAAGTTAAGATAAATGGCCAACAACACGAACAAAAAAATTGCCAAAATTTTGGGACGCCCTGTACCTTCCTCATGGCACAGACAGGTTAAAAACTCAAGAAAAAACCCCCAAAACAAATGAACACAAAAACATCTAGCACTAAAACTACGTCACTAAACCCTATTTATTTACATCCTTACATTTGGAATTTCGATGTAATAAAACTGATAATAAAACAATCTGAAATTCTAGAGGAAGTTGAAAAATTTTACAAAATAATTTATACACCTCAAGTAGTAAATGATGTTAAAAATTAATCTTAAAGAATTCCTTGAAGAATTTAATGTCCCTAAATTAGATGACACTGAACTTTTTCTATTGGAAGGTGTCATTTCATGTATTGAAGCTTTATCTGTATTAAAGGCAATGTCTAATAACAAAAGTCCAGGTAGTGATGGTTTTACAGCAGAATTTTTTAAAGTACTCTGGAGAAATCTTGGTCATTTTATAGTACGCTTTTTGAATTATGCACGGCCAGGAACACGTTAAGTTCCTAGACAGTACCGTTGTCAGAAACCTTTAAAGTTAAGCACTAAAACTGGTTCGTTGTCATGAACATACAGGTGAGGTTATGATAAAATCCGTCCGTTGTCATGACTTGAGAAGACAGTCTGTGAGAAGTTTTTCACTTTTCAAGTTAAATTATCTACAACAATGTCTGAAATTGCAATGGGAAACAGGGCTGATACTCTATTTGGTGCTGTATGAATGTCAGCCGTTAAAAACAAGTAATAAAAGAGGAGTTTGCGTTGGCGATATTAAACCCTGTTGAAAACACATGTTGATTTCATTCATTTTCCTTCCGAGATGTTATATTTTTCGTAAATAAAATATAATATACACACTAAATGGTGCAGACAGTATCAAGACATGTTGTAAGCCTTTACAGAAAAATTGAGAACAAATTAAAACTGAAAATTTTGATTTATTTCAATTTTTGTCCGTTGTCATGACAAGATACGAAAATTCAGTCCGTTGTCATCGGTCCGTTGTCGCTACTGTATTGTATACACTGTGAAGGACGATCTTATGTTGTTTTTGGTATCGTTAAGCATGCCATTAGAGGTGTGACGGTACATACTGTCGTTTTGTACATATTATATTGTCGTCGGCGACAAAATGTACCTACCCTGACTGCACGTATCATCGTCCATCGATACATATCAGACATATCAGCAATTTCATTAAGGGGGGGGGGGGGCACAGCCATACATTTTTCAGTTGAAAGTTGAGGAGCACTACCATCAATTTCGCGACAAGCAAAAAAAAAAAAAAAGGTCATCAGACGTTTTTATTGAGGGGGTACAAACATATATTAGTATCTATATAGTATCTATGTTTACTATAGTAATCTATATATCGGCAAAATTACGGCCATGCATATTGTCGCCGGCGACAATTTGTACCGAGACGAGCCTTTTTCTTCCTCCTGCATAATGGAAGACAAAATGTACAGTCAAGCATCGGCACGTTTTGTCGTCGGCGACAATATGTACTGTGACCATTGGCACATTTTGTCGCCGATGTATTATGTTGACTATTTACTAAGGTCGTGGAGAGAGAGAGAGAGAGAGAGAGAGAGAGAGAGAGAGAGAGAGCTAGACAGACAAAAGAACAGACAAAGTGTTTGGCTGATAAATAAGTAAACAAGTTGTATTTATTCAGCATTGCTCGCAATACTGTAGGGAGAAATGGTGTTGCTCAGAAAATTGTGTCCAGCATTGGTTTACATGACTTTGATATGTCAATATATTGAAATTCTTGAGATATCTGAAAAATAAGTCTATTCATTTTTCTCGTTATATATACATGGATATGAGATTGAAAGTTATTTGTTCAGTAGAAATGTTATCTGGAATTCATTTTTTTTGCTTAATTCTCATACGAGTGCCGATATAATTGGTGTGGGGGTTGACATTTTAGCTCACCTGAGCTGATAGCTCTAGTGAACTTTTCTGATCACATTTCTTGTGTCGTCCGTCTGTCTGTCTGTAAACTTTTCACATTATCAGCTTCTTCTCAGGAACTACTGGCCAATTTCAATTTCAACCAAATTTACCAGAAAGCAAACATGGATAAAGGGAGTCAAATGGCTATGCCCTCTTTCAAGAAAGTACGTGTATAGTTAAGAATTAGTGAAAATTTAGTGACATCTTTAAATAATCTTCTCAAGAACCATTGTGTCAAAAAGTTAAAACTTATGTGAAAGCTTTATTATAAAGTGTTGATTCATTTTTATTCAGATCATGATTGGGAAAGGGTGGGGCTACAATAGGTGATCAAAGTTTTAATACAATATTTAAGAATAATTCTTTCAAAATTTTCTTCTCAAGAACTTCTGGATCAGAAGAGATGATACTTACGTGAAAGTACATACATGAAGTGTACTTTTAATTTTTTAGATTCTGGCACGAAAAAGATCAGATCCCACACTTTTCAATGACCCTGAGTTCCGAGAATAGGTCTAAATTTTTGGCCCTCCACCGGCAAGTGGTGATGTCTTCTTATGAGTGAAAAATTCTCTTTAGGGATATTAAAACAACAAACAAACAAACAAAAACAAAACCAGTTTTGTTCAAATCATGACCCCCATAGGTATGGTGGGACCACAATTGGTGATAAAAGTTTTCCGTTAGAATCTACGGTATACAAAAACTCTTTAAAAATCTTCCCAAGAACCAAAGGCGGATCTAGCACCGGCGCACCCCACCCCCTCCCCCATCCCTCCCTGCCCCCTCCGTTTGATTTTTTTCATTTTTCTTTGCTTTTGTAAATTCTGTTTTTTTTTAAACCTGTATATACTCTCAATTTTGTCCACAGGTAAAATTTCATGATAAAATAATATATTTAACTTATACAGAAACACTCCTTCACACACAAACGATTTTTCTTTGTTTGTCAAAAAAAAAAAAATCTGAACCACACCCCCCTCCCCTTTCCCCGTTCTGAAATTTTTGGATTAAATATTGAGAAAAGAAGTAGGCACCTGATTAGCGATGTTTATATGGAAGCATCCTCAGGTAGTGTAGATTCAAGTTTCTTTTAATCATGACCCCCGGGCCTAGGTTGGGGCCACAAAGAGCGATCAAAGTTTTACACAGGAATATATAGGAAAATTCTTTAAACTTTTTCTTCTCAACAACAGCAAAGCAATGATTAGTCATATCTATATTGAAACATTGCCATGCATTGTCATGCGACATGTACTGATGGACGACAATATGCTCAGTGAGTGTATGTACACATTGTCGCCGGCGACAATATGAACAGGACGACATAATGTACTGTCACAATCACGCTCCATGAAATAGCATACGAGATACGTCAATGTGATTTACACACCAATTACATTCACAAATACGCCAAAAACAAGAGGCCCATGGGCCACAGCGCTCACCTGAGCACTTTGGTTCGGAAAAAGCAGAAATCAGTTAGGTATTCAAAAGTTTAAATATCAAAGTGGGGGGGGGGGGATTACCTGAGGATGCTTCCACATAAGTTTCATATTATCGGCCGTCGTCTTGTCCGAATTTTATCTCTTTTTTTCGTCGGCCGACCAATTTTATGCATGTTAGTCGGTTCAAGTTATTATTTTTTTTGCGTCTGTGGCCCATTCAATTGAAGCACTCATTGAATAGTCCGTCCACCAACCTTTGATCATAGGCCGACCATCGGCATACAGTTTTTAAAGTCGGTCGACATTTAGGAATTGGATTTTCGTACAACTGTCGGCCGAAGATGAAAATCAAACTGCGGCCTAGCGAACGATGATCTGGTGACGGTTGACCAACTTATAAATATTTTTACTTTTAAAGGTATCGTTGTTCCTGGGAATTAATATGACTACTCTACGCCGCCAGATCATGTTTTTTAGCCGACGATACAAAAATAATTTGGTCGCCCGACCATCGGCTTAAATGTGACCTAAGCATAACATTTTAATTTTGTTATACTGATGATATAGTAATACAGGGAATTGTATATGTTTGTATACTAGCTAGGATGCAGGTTCCTAAGAGAAAATGAACTGAAAATAAAACATCGCAGAATACTTAGCACGTTAGTGTGAGCTGCTTTAAGACGACCCCGAGATTCAAATATATTTGTAATATGCTTTGTATTCTTTTAAATTAAGCATATATTTGATCATTTCTGCTGTTTTTTTATTGATTTACTTACATGTTAAGAAAAATGACACCGGACCAGAT